GCACAGGTAAATTAGAAACATAAAATATCAGACAATACAAACAGCACATATAAAACCAAAATAAAACTAACAGCAAGGCATAAAAACCAGTGTAGAATAGAAACAAAGCAAAAGAAAACAGCAGTGGAATGATCTAAAAGTACCAAAACAATTATTGAAATGCCTGGCAGAATTAAAAGGGTTTCACCTGGCACTGAAAAAAACTGTAAAATAACCCTTAATGTAAGTATTGAAATTCCTTCTCTCCTTGATCTTATTTGTTTCTGAAGGCAGGGCTGTGATCAAAAGAACTACTTTAACACTCATACCATTACTGAAAAATAAACATTTTAAAAACAAGAGGGTTCTTTTTTAGCATTGAGACAGCACAAATGTTACTGCAGAGTTATTTCATTGATAGACTTTTCAGATTGCTGTTCACGGATTTGCTGTATTATGATACACACCTATTTCTGTTAAGTTTCCCAGCCATACTCAAATAACAAGTGAGCCTAACCCAACCAGTTCCATGTGACTGATCCCTGGACTCTTTTATAGTTTCCACTGTTGCCATAGGAATAACCTTGTGCCTCACCCAGCTCTGTAGGAAACATATCTCCCGGTTATTGAATAAACAGAAGCATGCCAAGACAAAGTTTCTGTTACTTGGAATAAATACCAGTAAATTCAGGTGCCACTACCTTCTTCCATCTTTGGTGAGTTCTAAGGTATTTCTTTGAATAAGATTTGTACTGTTATGATCATTTATATGTATAGAAGGCAGTTGTAGAATTTATATCTCTATCTGTAGTGAATTTCCATTTTCTGAGACAGCATTAAAAAAAGAAATAGTTAGAAATACACTTCAAGTCAAATGGGTTAAGCATAGTTACTAAATCCCAGTGATGACATTCCCAGAATTGCTTTAGCATTCTTTAAGTAAGTTCTACCCTGTTTTATGCCAAACATTGCTTGATATTAGTTGGTCTGTTTCAACCTTATGGAAAGAAATTGGAGAAGAACTATTTTAGTTAAAACAGAATGAGCAGCCCTCTTCCCATGGCATCAGATCACATGCAATCAGCTTCATGAATGTCTAGTTTCCTTCCTAACTGTAAGTCAATCCCCTCTTCACCCAGTTGAAACAGGATCCCCAAGAAGCTTTTGGTCCAGTCTGTCTCTGTGAGACATCTCTCTGTGATGTGTGTATATTCACCCTCCCCCAATTTATTTGATTTTATAGAACACTATACAATATAGCAAGGGGATAGGAACCCTTTTTTACCTGTTAAAGGTTCCTGCATCCTCTGGGAGTAATCTGTCCTAGGCCACAGAGGCTGCAGGTTGCCCTCCACTGCCATATAGTGTATCGGGGCTAATAAAAGACTTCAATTTATTCATCTTCCAACATCTATAGTGGAGCCTCCTTCAGTGAAACCCTTCTGTGTAGTCACCACAACCCCACCAAAAAAAGAAGGTGGGGGAAGAAATGCAAACCTGAGGAATTCTTGACCTTTTCTGCAATCTGAAGTACAGTAAAAGGGTCAACATTATGACAGGATACCTTGTGAGCAATCTTATGAAAGTATGCTGAATATATTGAATAGAATTAAATGCTATGCATTTAATAAGTGAGGACAAGAAAACCTGTATAACTTAGTAATTTGCATAATTTATTGTTTAACTGTTTGTGAACCTGAAATATGGAACAATATCAATAGTATATGAGACATTTTATACTTCATTTCAACAGCACAGGGTTATGAGGTCAGGAATGATTGCATTTTACATTTTCTAATTTTGGGGGGCCTGATCTCCACTGACAGAGTTAAATTTCAACATTGTTGCTTTCCAAGCCTCCAGAATTAGTTGTGTGTAAGAAAAGTTCTGGGTGGTGCACTTAAACTTTCAACACATGTTGCCAAGTTACAAATCAAAAATGACAATTTGCCTTTAATTCTTCTTCTGCATTGGTACAGAAGGTAATCGTGGTTTTTGCTTTCTGTTTCCACCCCATGTCCAGTGGGGCCTGTCTTTCATATATCTATATTCACTCTTAAAGCTGCATTCATTGTGAATGGCAGTGGATAAGGTCAACAGCACTGGAGATGGGAGGATGAAGGGGAAAAGCCATTACTTTCTTGTCTTCTGATTCAGCACCACATTTAAAGGTTAAAGGGTGATTCTCCAGCCTGCAACCTATCAACTCTGCCCTCAGCCAGATTCAGAAATTTTGTATTGGTTTGGGCTCTTCACAGTTTACCAGAAATCTTATTTTTGATATACAAGGGCAATGAAGCAAGAGGAAAGATGGCTAGAGCTCAGGTGCAGGAGGACTTTAATCGAATCCAGCCAAAGCTTGGTGCTCATTATCAAGCCTATTCCGTGGTGGTGAGGGAAATGAGGAAGCGCTTTATTGCCACCAGCATGGCATCAGCACAACCTCTCAAGGCCCTTTTCCTTTCTTCCTTTCATCTGAACACTTGGGAGAGTGTCCCACAGGTGTGGGGCTATTACAGGGGGTGGAAATAGAAGGAGGCGGGGGCCTTTAGCTTAGACCAATTCTTATCAGTGCCCCAGCATCTTTACTTTCCCCTCTGTCTGTTTAGGAAAAACATAAAGTGGGGGGTGTGGCAGAGATTGCCATTTCCTTTCTTTACTCCTACCATCAGATGTTCCTAAGCGTCCAAAAACAAATGCTTCTGTGCCAAGAGGCCACTGGATCACACTCTTTGGATAGTATCCAGTGGTAGTCCTACATACAGTAAATCTATTCAAATTAATGGGATTTCAATCAGTAATATTTGCATAATCCAAACTTCAGTTTCATTAGCTCCAAAAGAATTACCACCAGATATTACCCATCATGTAGCTATTCCATCCTCCCCTCAATTGATTTTTTTGTGGCAAGACAGATAGTCAGGTAGAAGAGGTAATAAAACCCAGGAAGGTTGAAAATAGAAGAAAAGGGTCCCTTGTAAAATGTCATGAATGAAGCAGGAAAATGTCACAACAAAGCAACATTTGGAAGAACCCCATCAGTGTTTTTCTGCTTGAAAGGTGAACACATTATGTGTTAAAATCATTAACAAGGAAAATAAGGAACTTATAGGACATCAGCAATTTTGACTTTTGTATACTCGCAGAGATATACCAACTGAAGCAGTTTTAACTATTTTCATGACTTTTGACATGTATTCCTGCAGAAAAAAGTAATGCACACTTGACTGGGAAAATAACACAGCTATAATGGATGAAAGAGCATGCCATGCTTGTCTTGTAATCTGTATCATAGTACAAACAGTTCCACTTCAGGCTGTAGACTCCTCGCCATTAAGACATGAAAACATTCCAACCACAATGTCAACTCAGGAGGCAAGAATTGCTACTGCAGCTAGCACTAAAACGCCTACTGCATCCAGTAAAGAAGCAGTAAACAGCATTACACTGAATAACTCAAGTGCCAACTGGAACACATTAGCTACAGATGTGAATACTACAAACTTTTCCCCTCTGTCATCTAATACTATACAAACTACATATTCCCTGCACAAAGAGGCAAACAGTTCATCAGCTATGACTGCTGAAACAAAAACTGTGGTGACAAGAGTTCCTACTGTGTCATTCTTTGGTAATTCTACATATCAAGCCACTGCTGAAGAATCCAACGGGACTCCAGGTATCACACTGAAACTGACATCCCAGCCTTTTAGAAGTACACCAGTAATGAGCAGCAAGGTCTTGCTTTCAGATTCAGCAAAACAGTTTCCAGGTAGGTCTAAATATATTTGAGCTCTGAGCTAAATATATTTGAAGTTAACATATAAAACAATATCTGATTATGTTTTTTGTTTTGCTTTGAAATGAAAAATGTTTGCAGAGGAGTATAAGCAGGAAAAGAGAGTGCTTAATTCTTTCCCTGCTGCCATTCCCCTGCTGCTCCTTCATATTCTTTGGTTTTACTTGCAGAATTTCAAAAACATGTTTGCTCTTGGAATAAGGATTTTGAAGGTATCCAGGCTCCCTGAAAAAAATGTACTGATAATTCCATGGGTTTGACTCTTGCAACAAGTATTATACTTTCTGAAAACCAAGGACTCTTTGTGTGGAGTTTTTGGCCCAAATAGGATCTTCACTACTGAACCATTTGAACATACATTTGAAGGAGGCTACCAGTAGCCACTAGCCTTGTTAGCTGTGTGCTACCTTCTTTACCAGAGGTGACATGCTTACATGTACCAGTTTCTGAGGAGCTTCGGCAAGTGGAAGTCCTGCACCCATCCTGCTTGAGAAATCCTATGGGCAGCTGGTTTGCCACTGTGTTTACAGAGTGGACCTTTGGTCTGATCCTGGCTTTTCTTACATATGTGCATGTACATTCTTATGTACATATTTCAGTTAAGCTTATAGTAATTATAAGCATCTACCAATGGAGAAAATAGAAAAAGTGACTTCTAGAAAATACTTCTCTAGGAGTTAAGTTATCTAGTTATCTAGGGAGTATACTAGCTTCACCATTCTCAGCCAAGAGATTTCTTTGAAAAACAAAAGTCAGCAACCTTTTGCATGTAGGACAGGGAAACAATAGGTTTTCAGAAAATTGACAGTAGCAACACTCCCCTTGGTATATACACAGATTTTGTTTGTGTCACTATCATCTCAGGTCGAAACAGGTTTTACAGACTATTTAAACAATAAAAAAAACCCTGAAAAACCTGTTTACTAGAGACATAACATAAACACCCTTGTTCAAACCACCTCCAGCTACCTGGAAAAAAGTATCATCGCTTTCCAGCTATACGTGTATATGTAGCAAGGAGACAGTATTACAGTATGTGCAACAACATGAAAGAGATAAAATAAATGGGTTTTCAAACAGCAACAGCAGCGATAACATCAACAGCAACCAGCTTGGCCTACTTGCCATCTCAGAATTGGCAATGAAATTTCGGACTAAAAGACTCACCACTCATTTTAATCCTTCTCCATACATGAGTTCTATTTGTATATTGACCTTTTAAAACCATGTAGCAGTAACCTAACTGTATTATTTCATTCCAACAGAGGGAGCTCATTTGAAGAAGTCAGAGGTTATCCTAACAATTGGTTTTGCCATTGTTCTTACATTGACAATTCTAGGATTCACTGTTTACATTCTCAATAAACACAGAAAGAGAAGGGATCAGTATTCTCATTGCCCACTTCATGATGCCTCTTCTGAAACAGGTTAGAACATTTGTAATCAAATACTATGCGCGTGTAAAAGAACTAGAGAGTCTTATGTGCAGATGCATAAAACACATCCATGTGGCCAGATGAAGCCCATTGGGAAATGTGATACTGGTTTAGAAGGTACTGGGGAGGTTTTGACAAATGTGAAAGCTGCTGCTGGAAGGGGTAACTGGAATATTAATATGTCATTTGGATCATGACCAAAGTATTATAATTGGGACCTCACTGAACATTCTGGGATATTCCAAGCTGATAATGCCAATTTCTTATGCATATTGCTGAATGATAAATGCATTATCAAGAATTTAAATTTTGAATTTCTTTAGACCCACTATCTTCCCCCACAATATAATAATTTTCCCAAACTTTTACAGTGGACAGATATGCTACTCCAGATGACACACTTGTAATATCAGGAGGTTTATATGATGCACCAAGATTTTATAATCCCAACATGATGGTGTATGAAGATGATGAACTCCAAAATGATAATTTATCATTCACTGCTCAACATGGACAATTGGAAATGGACCTTTCACCAATACATGAAGCATTTCAGATACCAGCAGGAGCCTTATAATGGCTGAAGCAAGGCAAATCTTTTCAAATCTCTAAAATAGATGCTTGCCCTACTGTGTTCATTACAAGGAAAATCCAACTCAATGAAGATGAGAAAATAAAATGAAGGAAGAAGTTTATTAAAACAAGGGATCTAACATTTCTAACAATGGTTAACATTTTTTTTTTTTGTTATTCAACAAGGAACGCAACTCTATTTGAATCTGTTTCACTAGTGATATTGGGCTTGATCCAGATGTAGAACAGACCTATTGAAATCAATTGATTTAATGGCTCTACTCTAGGTATGACTTGGTCTGGATCCAGTCCATTAGACTTTTAAATAAAATAAATGTATTCTGATTCATACTTTAATAAACCTTAATATGTATTCACTTTTTAAAAAGCTAGTTAATTCTAATCTATTAAATTAACATATATGCCGCTAGGTATGCATGAGAAGATGGGTACAAGATTCAATAGGGCCCTCTTTCCTCCCTCCCCTCCTTGTCAGCCCTCAGCTGGGCAGAAAGTAGAGTATGCTAGCCATTAGTCACAAATATATCCTTGTGCAAGCCTCTCATGTATGCATCATTTTCTTCCCAGGGTCGAGCACACAAGTTACTTATTCACCAGAACTGGCATGTGATGAGGGATAGAGAGGAAAGAAAGCTCCACCTTATATTAATGCTTTCTACATATGCAGGATTACCTGCAGGGGATAAATCAGGTCATAGGATTTTGGACAAGTATTTAATGCTTGAAGTATTCCAGAGTTTTGAACTTTTAGAATATATATTTTAAGAATAGAAGGTAATCAACAAAATGTAACAAAAGTGGAGTTGAAATGCAATACAATATCAAACAAAATAATTACAAAATTGTACATTTTTGGATTATGTAAACAGTTTTCCAGCTTCTTTCATTTTTCTTCTTCTGTCAATTTTGGACACTGCAGTCCATCCAGCCTCTCGCATCTTTCGTATCGCTCCAAGTTTCACTGAGGATTCAGGAATTTTCAGAGTGGGTGGAGTTTGGATCTATACACAAAATGAGACACCTCAATTAATTTTGCAAAGGCCAATGTGGTATTTATTTTGACTTTCAGTAAAAGAAAGAAGATACCTTTTTAGGTGTCATGACATTTAGGAAAGATGTTTGTGGATAATCCTTATATAGCTGTTTACACATTTCTTCTTCTGACACGATACTCTTAAAAAGAAAGTATATTTAAAAATTAATACTAACGTCTATATGGGACTTTTCCCCCCCATTACATTATACTATTTATTTATTTAAAACTTTTATATGCCCTCCTTTATGCATGGAATCTCAGGATGGCTTACAATATCTCAGGACAGCTTACAATATTAGTTGATTTAAAACACTGTAATTGTCTTTCCCCAGCTTTTAGATGAAGTAACCCTTATCAGAGTCTGAGAAATGGTACAATCCAGTTAGTGAGGCAAAGGAGAGGAACAATTTTAATTCTGAAAAGAAGGGTACATTGAAGAAAGAAAGGTGAGACTCATAATGCTGGGAAGGACAAAGAACTATGGTACAGCATGGGGACTGGAGGCGTACAAGCTGATCTCTGGAAATTTATGCAGACTATGACAGTGCTCCAAAAGGCTCTGCTTGTTTATTTGTAAATAAGGTAAATATTATATGGGCATCATAAGCTTCCAGGCTTTTCATCACGAGGAAACTAAACCATACTGCCCCTGGAATATCTCACTGCTGAGAAATGGAGAACACACAATAGTATTATGCAATTGTATAAACACTATTCCAATACATTTAATTATGTAATCAAAACTGCAGAAGGCTGAATAGACATGACTTTCATCAAATGAAACTTCTAGTTCCATATTCATATTCTGTTCTATTCATACTAATAGTCTTAGCTTCTAATTAGTACCAGAAGATCATTGTTTTCGGAGCTATCCGATAGAGTACCCATTTCTAAGGTAAGTTTTCTCTTTTTCTTTCTTCCATCTTCTGAGCGTAGATTTGTGCTTTCTCTTAGCATATTAGAATTTGGAGGTGTTTTCACAATATAAGTCTATTTGAATAAACACAACAAAAATAATAATTAAAATAATTAAACTAAGAGGTCTTTGTGTGCAGTTAGGCTTTGCACATATAGGAAGTAATGTGCTGGATGGAGCATTGGTTTGATCCCTTATATGGCATTCCTTATGTTTTGCTGTGTAGGCCCTAATCCAAGAAGAGAAACTATTGATATATTTCCATGCTGCAGAAATGAAGATTCAACAAAGGGTAGTGCAATGGTAACTTCTTTTTCTGGCATACAGACAATGATCAATCTTCATAATCTGATCAAGGTGAAAAACTAGGGAGTCAGGAAAATGTTTATCCCAAAGGAATGTTTAGATTCTACACATGATTCATACAGACTTTCTTAGGGTCTTCCTAGAAGATATTTTTGTTGTGAAATAAGTGCATAATGATTACTTTGTTCTTGTAGTGGATTATAATACTCAATTACTGTCATAGTCACTTCTTGGCAGGAGCCCATGATGTTACTACTGCTACATGATCTTCTCCACTCCATAACTATGCACCACAACAATCCCATCTACAGCAAAGTACAGTGATAGGCTATTTCTCTATTGCAGGGGTCTCAAACTCAACTTACCTGGGGCCTCTGGAAGTAGAGTCTGGGTGAGGCTGGGCCACATCAAGTATTCCACCACTGCAGTGGTGGTGGGCCGCTCATCCCGCGGCCGGCCCGGGCGCCACTGGCGCTTTGAAGGCCTCAGGGCCTCTCCCCCGTGCCCCGCCCGTCCCGGCAATTGGCCCATGGGCCCTGAGTTTGAGACCCCTACTCTATTGGTATTTGATCAAGGTTAGTAAAGCTCTGAACTATTTTCCCCTTAGCATCTAGGTCCTTAGAACTTTATACATGAGGGTTTTTATTAGGCCTTGTGATTCTTAACTCACAGTATTTGCAGGTGCATTACACAATGTCATCACCTACAAGAAATTCTGTTCTTTGCAACCATTTTAGCAGGAATGCTGGTCTATCATAGAACATTTGCTATACCTGTGCATGGTAGCATGAAACCCTTGTGTATTTATATAATTTTACAGCACAACCTAATGGTTGTGTAGTGGAACTTCTAACACAGCAGAGAAAGAACTAGAAAAACATGCATAAAAGAACTTATTTTAAATCTGGGTAAAGTAGCACATGAATAGCTTAACGCAGAAAAGCTCTGGGATATGCTTTGGCAGGTAACACAGAGCTCTATTTTATAATCCTCACCTATAAAAACAAGTGCCAGTGAATGAGCACCTTAACTATATTGCCTGCAGTATTTTGAAGTATATTTCACTACAATTGAGCGCCTAAGTTTAAAGAAGCTATCAAACCAAAAATAAAATTGAAGATATATTGCTCCACCCATTAATTATGAACTGCACTAAATTGTGACCATCTAAAAACTACACTTTTAAGCAGAAATTGCTTTCCCTGTCATTTGAACTGCAGTAAATAAAAAAAGAAGTTAGAGGAAGAAATTCTTCAAGGTCCTGTGAAAATAGGTTTATCTTTGGTATGTCCATATACAATCTCAAATATTAGATGATAAAACATAAAGCACTTTTTGATCCAGTTGTTCATTTTAATCACTTGACTGTTATGATCTGAAATTATTGTTATATGGGAAGTAGAATGAATGTATTACAGTTTGAAAAAGAACAACAAACATTTTGAGCTAAATCTTTCATTCCCAGATCTCACTTTCTAAATAATGAATAAGCACTGAAACATTTTTATAGCTTTTAAATCTATTTTTTCTCAGGCAAATTAAAAATGAGCAGAGATGTAAAGCTTACAACAAATCCTGAGCAAGTAGCAAGTATTTTAGTACAAATAAACAGATACAAGGAAAAAATAAATATTAACAAACCTTGGCAGGTGCCCAGGACTCTGCTGTGTATTCCTGCTTGTTCGCATTAACAGGTGCAAAAATCTGAGACGTGTTCTTTTTGGAATTAACTGATAGAGAATCTAAGCTACTGGCTTTAGGTGTTTCCAAAAAGGATGTTTGCGTTTTCTACAATTAATTACAGTAAGAATGCATTCAATAAGAATGACAGGAAACATAATTACCTTAACAACAAATCTTACTAGTACATGTTACTAATTCCCAGTGTAACTAGCATTATATGAAACCCAAATAAAATAGTGTAAGAAATTTTGAAAAAACAATAGTAAGTAGTTACCTTATGCTTTTTTCCTTTTTTAGAAAGATCATCTTTTTTTACTTCTCTTGCTAGGCTTTCCTAGAAGAAGTAGTTGGTGCAAGTTCAAATTTATCTTAACATTACATTGATTACTACAAGATAGTAAGGCAGCAGCAAGATGAGATTGTAAGTTATTTCTAAAAGTTAACAGCAGCTATGAGGCAGTTCCCAAGTCCTAAATTGGATTTGTTCTATGGACAGTAGAGGGGGGATTCACTTACTTCTATCACAATGCAGAGCTAATTGCTTTGCTATAAAGTTTATGTTGAAATGCGTTTTAAGGCTTTTTGTTGTTTAAGACTTTTAAACATTTAAAAGTATATTCTGGCACGCAGGCAGTAACTCCATGATCGACTCAAGCACCAGCCAGTTAATGCTGTATGCAACTCTCCTTCCCAAAGAGTGAGGAGATGCCTTAAAAATGACAGCTATGCTATATAATCAATTTCTGCTGTAATCCTGAGAAACAGCCTTCCCATGGTCTGGATGTATTGATGATGTATGTATGTGAACTATGACCAGTGCATTTCTATAACAGGCTCTCTGTATCCACCCTGAATTTGTGCTGGCAGCCTGGAGATTGGTAGTTGAATACATTCAGTGTTAATAAATAGGTATGCTTTTAGTCAAAGATGTAACAACTTAACTGAACAGTTCTGGTAAACATGCATTTTTAACTTTTACTAAAAATAACCATTTCTACTTTATATTATTTTACCTTCAACTATTTAATAAGCAATTTAATTAAGTAAGCATTTAAATAAACACCAAACAGGCACTGTCTTAAAAGGACAAAATCATTGTTCCTGAGAAACACATTGCTACTAGATGATATTATTATAATAATCTTAAAATAGTTCTATTTTTAAGCTCCTGGAAACATATAAGATAGGGAGATTATTTCATATATTAAATTTAAAAATAACAAACAGAAGACATACCTTCTCATTTATTTCGGCTTTAAGGTGTTCCTGAAGGGATGAAATTTCACTTTTTTTACAAGAAAGTTCCCTTTCCTGAAAAGGATTACAGATTGGTTGCTCAGACAAGCAGCTGAAAATTCATCTTGACACCTTTTCTTGATACACTTTTTTGTGGGGAGGAGCACAATTGGGCCAAATAGGAGGACTTGCAGTTTCATTTTAAATGGGTAATGTTGCTAGAAAAAGTATCTACTTTTTTCTGTTGTATCTTTATTTTTTCATCTTTATGTACTGATTTGTATTTTATTATATGCATAAACATAACTTTGATGCTTCATTATTTTAATCTATAAACAATGCACATACATATGCTTTTACTCTATAAGCAATATACATAGATAGTGATTTCCATCTACTTTTTTCTTAAGAACAAAAGAAGGGCCATGCTGAATGTTACCAAAGGTCCATCTAGTCTATAATTCTGTTCACACAATGGCCAACCAGTTGCTCCCAGGATACAACAGCAAGGATATTAGTGCAAAAGAACTCTTCTGCCCAAGATATCCAGCAACTCCTGTACATAAGCATACTACATCTGATGCTGGAGGTAGCATATACCTCCATATGCTACATAAAATACATAAAATAAAATACATATATGTTATGTATTTTGTTTTATGTTTTTAATTATTTGATGATTTTATGATTGTAAGCCGTTCCGAGGCTCATGCGATGGGGTTGCATATAAGTTGTTTAAATAAATAATAAATAAATAAATATAACCATTAGGACTAGAAACCATTGAAGTCTTCTCCATGAATTTGTCCAATTCCCTTTAAAAGCTGTCCAAAACTGGTAACCATCTCTGCATTTCATGGGTTTTAATTCAATAGGTTAACTACTCACTTTATGTAGAAGTACTTCCTTTTATCTGTCCTTTATCTCCCCCCCTCCCATTCAGTTTCATAGAATGAACTCAGTTTCTAGTAATACAGACAGGATAGGGAGAAAAGTATCTCCTTCTCCATGTATTCTACACCATGCTTAATTCTATGAAGTCATCCTTTATTCACTTTTCTCTTGGTAAACAATATCAACTATTGTAACCTTTTCTCATAAAGTAGTACTCCAACCCCTCAATCATTTTAATTAAAATTCCCTGCACTTTTTCCATCTATTAAAATATCCTTTTATAGGTGGGATGACCAGAATGTACACAGCATTGGAAGTGCATTTGTATCATAGAGTTCTATAAGGGCGATATTGGCAGTCTTATTTTCAATTCCTTTCCTAACTATGCCTACCATGGATTTTTTTCTTTTTCACAGGGGCAATGCAATGGGTTGACATTATCATTAAGCTGGCCACCACAACTCTAAGAACCCTTTTTTGGTCAGTCACTACTACCTCATCAGTGAACACTGCAAGTTGTTCTCAGCCCAAACTTCCAGTTGACCTCTCCCAGCAGCTTCATATAGATGTTAAAGAACACAGGGGACAGCACTGAGCCCTGCGATAGCCCTATATGATGGTCATCATATATTGCTTATATCCTGCTTTTTTTCCATTCAAGGAACTCAAGGTGGCTTACACAGTTCTTCTCCTCTCTATCTTATCCCCACAAGGGTATGTTGAGATGAGCATCTGTAACTGGACCAAAGTCACCCACTGTGGCTGAGTGGGGACTAGAACCCAGATCACAAGAGTCCCAGTCCTACATTGACTCTCAGTGAATTCCAAACCTGAATTCCAAATTATGAAATTCAATTCACTGTTAGAGTATTTATCAGTTTACCTAATCTCATTTATTTTCATTTCTTTTTATTTGAGCTTGATTCTTACAGTGCTAGCAGTAATCTCTATTTAGTTCTTGTACATATGTGCTTTTCCCCTATGAGATTATAGCTTGGTGTGTTTGCTTGTGGAGGTGGGGAAAATACTGGATTTCTATAATTAAAGCCATGCACAGAGTTTACTGGGTTTATTTGAAGTAGTCTTTAACAGTACAAACTATAAATACAAAAAATCCCCACAAAAGCAATATTAATTAGAAACAGGATCTAAAATGATTTGAGCTCCTAAAAGTACAATCTTATCACCCATGGCTTCTTGATCATCTAAGCCTCTGAGTTTGGAGGCTTCTATGCATCCTATGCTCTGATGGAAGGGGGTCACTGTCAATCTGTGCTGCCACTGCACCTTGCACCCTGATTGTATCTAGACAGCCAAAGAGCGAAGGTGGCAGCATACAGAGTGGGAACGACTATAAGTATTCAACCCAACCTCCCCACTATTCCTATATAGTCACACTGCTTTTTCTTCATGTATGGCATGTTTTCAACTTGAGGAGAGGCAGCTAGAGTGGTTCTTTCTATGTCAGCTACAGAGGGCAGGCAGAGATTGTCCTTTGGAATTCCAGCTCCAAAATCACAGGATTTTGGCACTGGGACTTTGAAAAATTTCATGGCCCTAAGGGAATGTTGGAAGGTTTTAGATTGCATCTAAAACATTTGTTTAAAAATGCAGCATGACCAAAATAACTCCTACCCCAACTTCTTGTCATTGAATGCCAGTGGCATGGAAAAGATGACAGAATTGGCACCAAGTGGGCTTCATTACAAAGATCATTCCATAGTCAGGGGTGCATCACTGAGAAGGCTCTTCCCCATGTTCCCACTCTAATAGCTGAAAAAAATTCAAGAAATATTCTTACCAAAGATCCTATAATTGATGTTAGTTCTTGTTCTTTTGTCTTATAGTTTTCCAATTCTGCATCTTTTTCTTCAACTGTTTTATCATACTGGTGCTGCATAAGGAGACCACCATATGTTAAATAATATATAGCATTCCATTTTCTGTATATGTCTAAGGGCTAAACTTGACATGATAGGGTTTTCACATGTTTGTCCCATTCACATATAAAGCAAGGGTTTTTACATGAAAAGGTGCATGCAGGAAAGTAAGGTAGCTGCTTGCAACCTTCCCATTTTACCTTACTGTGCTCTGTAATTTCATGAACTTTTTTTACCTTTTTAAAGTCTTAAAGTATTATAAAATCCAGAGATACAGTTTCTTCTAGTGGCTGAATTGTAGCATAAAGAAATCATTTATAAATGGCAGTGAAAGGACTATAGCATGCATTAATACCTCTGAAATATCCCTGTTGATGATCAGCATATCATGTGACAAATACAGGAAAATATATTTTTTCAGCATGTGCAAAAGTGCTACAATACAAAAAACTGTTGTTGATTTTGCACTATTCCATGGTTGGTGTTGTACCACCCCTAGTTAATGACTCATACCATTACTATAAAAATATTAGTTCAAATTTTCTTTAGTGTTTCTCTACAGTTTCCTTTCTTCTTTGCTTATAGAAATAGATGATTTACTCAGTTCTTGCTGAACTAGTAATGTAATACTGATTCCATTATTGATTCCATTGGTTTCAAATATATAAGTAACTTCAAAGAAACTATTTATGTTCTTGTGGGACAAAGCAAGGAAGCTGAATTCTATGAAAAAAGTCAGAAAAACCTTCTGACCTTTAGGAAATGTACTGTAAAACAACACTGCATGCACATTCCTTAGGAAAAAAGTTAAAACAAGTCTAATTGTGCATAATTAGAATTATCTGTGCATGTTCTTTGTGCACAAGAAGCAGGTAGGGGAAGGATTTTTATTTTTTGTTGTTTTAAAGGGTATCTCCTCCTCTTGGATGCACACCTTAATGTGGTGAGGGACTTTGAGAGTGTCAAAGAAGCCAAGAGCAATGCTGCCAGGAGGGCAGACTCTCTCATTGTCTCTCTCACCCAAGGCAGAATGGTCAAAGCTAAAAACCCCAGACTAAGATGCATCCACCCTCTCAAGGAGTAATGGTCACATCAGCAGAAGAGAATAAATAATTCTGCAGCTACTGGGCACCAGTGGTAGTTGAAGGTGACATTGGTGGTGGACAGAAAGATGAGCAAGTGGGTCCCAGATCAAATCAAACCAGAACTTGCCCTGAAAGTAAAAATATTGACACCAAGGGCATTGTACTTCAGGCAGATCATGAGAAGGCAACATTTGCTGGAGAAGACTCATGCTAGGGAGAGTCACTTGCAGAAGAAGAGGGGAAAAACAAAATATGAAATGGACTAATTCCATAAAGAAAGTCATAGTCTTGAGTTTACAAATGCCAACCGGGGCTGTCAAGGACAGGACTGTAACTCAGGGACGACTTGACTTCATATAACAACAAAGGGTGTGTGTGTTCATGAACACAGACTTTCCAAAAGAAGTCTAAAAACCGACCACATAATATTAACACTAAAAAATTAAATAAGATTAAGCTCTCAATACAATATGAACATGAAAACATAATATCATAAATATTAGAGACTTGATGGGGAAAAAATCATACATCAAAGTATAAAAAAAAAACTTAATACTTCATGGAAGCTAGAAATGTTATTACATACTTGTTCTTGCTTTGGACCCCAGTACAATTTGTTGTGACTAACAGGTTGTCTGGCTATGAAAATTCTACAGCAAAAACATCAGGCAAAACTCCCGCTTTGTGCACTACTCCATCTTTCTATTGATTCACAGCCACTATGTGTACAAATAAAAATTGCATTTACCTTATGTTTTTCCATAAGTGCTACCATTTCAGTAATTTTGTGCTGACATCGAACATCTATTTCTTTCTGTGTTGCTGCTGCTTCATCAGCTATAGATTTCATTGTTTCTAGCTATTAATAACACATGTGAAATAAGAAAATATGTTAATGGTATTAACAGTTCTAATTATATTCAACAAAGTATATGTGCAACTGAATGACATCTAACCATTTGATATGCAATTTGCCTGTGGTATAGCAATTTAAGTTGCACTTATTAGTAAGTTTGTACTGAACACAGTTACACAAAAAAAGTACAAAATTGTGCTGTAAATAGCATTCTAATTTCTCTTGATCCACAGTTCTTGCAGTACCTGAGATTCAGGCAAGCAGTGGAAATTCAAGCAACTAACTTCCTGAGGTGGCTAATCCTCAGGAGGTGAAGCCACTCCAAGTTGTATCAGTGGAAATTTGACCAAGAGGAAATCCACACAAGAACTTTTGTTAACCATCATTATACTGCTTTGTCCATTTGCTTGACATATGCCATACACTCCAAGCCATCTTACTCATACTATTTCTGCTATTATGTTCTGGATTTTCTCAGCCTAATTTTCACATCTTTTATATTTTTTCCATTTTTTTCTGGCAGCATCTCTCTATTATCATGCCTTGTGAATCAGAGAGTAAATTCAGTGCTGCTTCTCCCCACTGCCCTTGGAAAAAATAAAGCGTGGGAGGTATTATCTCCTTTTTCATTTCCTAGTCTCTAAAAGGGAGAGGAGGGAGGGAAGGAGGGAGAGAGAATGAGAATGAGAATGAATGAATATTAAATATCCTTGTCTTCAGTCGTGTTTATTCCTGGAAAAGACAGCACAGTATGGGGTGCATTGGGTTTTAGGATAAACATTAATACATATTTGTTGCTGAATACCAGTGAAAGAGCATGCGCATGTGTAACACTCAAAGAAGCAAATGAAAAATGGACAGTTCCCCTGCAGTTACACTCATTCTATAAGTGAGCTTTCCAATTCTTCCTACTTCTCTTACAATTGCATTTATGTTTGTTTGTTTGGAGCTTTTATATGCCGTCCCAGTTGCATAAGCCTTGGGACGGCTTCCAACATAATAAACAATCATACATATAAAATATAAAATCTGGATTCACCCTGGATATAAAAATTAAAACCAATAAATAATATTAGCAATTATTAAAATATTGTTTGAATAAAAAGGTCTTGGCCTGGTGCCAAAAAACAAATGATGGCGTCAGGCGGACCTCTCTGGGGAGCGCATTCCACAAGTAGGGCGCCACCGTAGAGAAAGCCCTCCTCCGAGTACTCACTCTCCTGATGTCTTTTACAGAGGGTTCCCGGAAGAGGGCCTCTGCCGCAGATCTCAAGGGGCAGAAGGGCATATATGGAAGCAGGCATTCCTTTAGGTATCCAGGTCCCAAGCTGTTTGGCAGTGGCATCATCAGCACAGTGAATACTATACTGCATTCATTAGTGTTTGCCACCACTGCAATAAATACATTTTGCAAAACCACCATCACAGTCTGCCTGGCACACAAAAGTAGATCTAGTGTAGATTCCCTGAGACTGAGATTCTAACTATATAAGTAGTGAACGGCTGAAGAAGTTTCACAGATAGTGTAGGAGGGAATGATTTGCCAAATTGGAGAGGACTAAATATGAATAAAATTCTTATTACTCTTGCCTGTCATATCCCCTCCTTCATTCAGCACCCCCATTTCTCTACTTATCACTGCCATCTATACCCAACCAACACATCACTGCACTTCTTCCTTGGCACCATACTGTTTCCTTCCCTACCTATAATGTTAAACCATTGGACAGAAAGACAAATGAAAGGACCACTGGCATTTACTGTGTTGCTTTCTTCTTGTTGGTATGTTCTTCAGCCTCTTCCTAAAGAGGCATAGGTATCTAGTTTATAGATAGCAGTTAGCTGCTTGGCAGATTTCAGAAATAGGGAAACTTAGGAATAGGGGCTGTTGAGGTGACTGTTGCCCTGATGGAATGTGTTGTGATATTTAGTGGAAAATGAATGTACTGTACATGTGCTAATAACATATTGTGTTATAGTGGAAGTAGATCCCTTTACTTCCAACCAAATGGAATGAGAAGAGGCAAAGAGGCTCTCTGATTACCAAAAAGCAGATATGTGATAAATCTATTTTGAGGGCTCAGAAGATGTTCAATTAGTGCTCTTGTGATTATTTGGCAGAATATGAACATTTGAGCCAAAAGAAAGGAAAATTAATTCTCATCCTTTGCGGGATAGAGTGATAATCTATGAGATGAAAGGCAGGTCTAGTGTGAAAATCATGCTTCCTGGGCAATTCATAACTAATGCCTGATTGATGGTGCATTGATCTCTGAGACCCAGCATGCAGATGTGATGGTAATTAAGAAAGCCAGTTTGAATGCCAGCACTCTCAATACCACTACTTTTAGGCTTTACATTAAGGGTAATTTTGAAAGCACTTGCAGTGCTGGATGGCATTTTCAAGAAGAGAACCTGTGAATAATTGTAGAACTGATTTGGGGAATTCCTTGAAATCTCCAGAGATGAGGCTGATGAGTGAGTGGCTTGGTTCCAGTTTTCAATACAATAATGGAGAGAATCAAGGCCTGTCATCAGATACTGTTGGACTCAAGCCCAACTCCCATTTCAAAAGAGTACAGCAACTTAGTCAGTTTGCTTCCAAGTTGCATATGCCTCTGGTGAACTATGTTGCGATGGACAGAAGGTTGAATCCAGTCTAGGATAGAACTGTGATTGCCTCTAGATGCTGGAAACAAGACAGAATGCCCTGCTGGCTAGCACTGACTAGGATGTAAGACTGGTGTATCTGCTGCAGCAAGCATGTAAGATCAGTGCATAGAGGCTAACCATAAGTTCCAAAGCACTGATACTATGTTTGGATTCCTCTGTTACTCATGTTTATGAACTATGTGGCCTCTGACCTGAGACCTGTGTCTGTGATAAGGACATGTGGGGATGAAGGAAAAGTGTTTTTCAGATAGAATACTTTGGAGAGATACTGGGGTTCATCCAGAACCCAGGAAAGCAAGGACAGTTTGCATTCCTTGTTGTTGGTAGTTTATGGTGGGATTATTTTGATTATGCTGTCCAAAATTGGAAGGAAGTAATATTGAAGAAGTATTTTTTGTGAGATAGAATGGGCTTCCATGATTTTTTTTTTTGGGGGGGGAGCAATACTAACACAGGAATATGTGACCTACATTTATGTTTACTGTGGCTTTCAGGTGTTGGACCTGTAAAGATGGCTTCAGAAAAGTTGAGAAATCACTTGGATTTTGAATATGTAGATCTTTGACTTCTTTCAATCCTTTTTACTCTTGAAAATAGGAGAAACAAAGGAAAGATGAGTGTCTGCTTTTTAATTTTCTGTTTATTTCAGTACTGCATCTTAAATTGGAGGGAGAGACTGGAGGCTAAAATATACCACATAAAAGCAGTATCAATCATGCTTTTACTCCATCTAGCTTCTTGTTGGTATCATCAAACCAAAGAGGGACTCAAATCTAAAGTTGATAGTCCAGTTATTTCTGATTCTAATTAGCATTCATTGAGTGGCATTCCTGTTTGTTGGGCAGGAATACCATATTCCATTCTTTTGTTTCCACACCTGTGCCTTTGGAAAAGCTCTGACTTCTGCACTCCTGTATTCTGAAGACTAGGGAGATCTGTCTCACTCTATATGGTTTTCTTTAGTTCCAAGGTGGTTTGGGTGGTTTCCAAGGTGGTTTGGGAGGTGGGAGTTGGTTACTGCCATGACAGCTGACAGAAAGGTAATAAAATCAAGTAATAAAGAGCTTTTATACATAAGGGATTTATTCTGAAATTATTATTCTTTGCTCATGGCTGTTTTAGGGTTCTTCAGAAAATGTCATGATTCTCCATTTTCACTTCTGTTTTTTCAAAGCATTTCCCCTTTTTTTTTGAATGATGAAATCTATATTGTTTATATAAATTTATATTTATGTATTTGTGCTATTCTGCTGTAGCTCAGTTCCAGCTTGAAGGTATATAATGGAAAAGTAGGAAAGAAAAAGCTTTGTATAGATCTCAGATCTAAATTTAGCCAGAAAACTCAAAGTAAATAAAGTGATCAACAGCTAGGCATACTAAGTTCAAAGTAGAAAAAGAGCAAGCTTGAAAAAACTGAAAATGCAGCAAGAGGTAAGATTAAAAAAAGAAAAGAAAACTTTCAGAAAGACAAGCCTAAAAATTTTCATCTGGTGAGAAAAAGTTTGCCTGCCCTTTAGTAAGCAAAGGAAAGAACTCAAAAGAAGAAACATAAGTAGCAAAAAAGTAACTTCCTTCCTCATTTTACTACTTCTAGTCTAAAAGGATTTCTGGGGAGAGCAATACATTTCTGAGAACTGCCTCCAAAACCAACTCTCAAGAATTTGTTCCTGAAGACAATTCTCAAGGGTTAAGAAAAATGGATTTGTTTCTTCAATACATTCTCAGCAGGACAAATCAAGGTTTTTTTTCCTTCATAGGGCTTCTAGCTTGCCACTTTACTAAGACCTCTCTCTTTTATAAGTTTTTCAAGGGAATTTGTTTCTCTACCTTTCAATTTGTTCCATTACAAAACCATTAGGTGGCAGTATGGTACAGCAGAACTGCATTGATAAGGTTATGCAAAAACTAATCTGAGTGAGGAATCACTAGTGCAAGATAAATGTCTTATGTAAAAAGGTTTAAAGAGAAATACTATTAAGAACAACTAGGTAGACTGATGACATATAGCTACTAATCATAAATAACAATGATTGATATTTAAGCTTACAAAATTATGCAATTTTACAAATTGCAAAAAAGTTGTTCACCTCTTTCAGAAGTTCTTTTTCAGCTGTCTTAGCCGTCTCAGTTTCATTTTTATAGGTGTCAACTGTTTCTTTGTGTAGTTTATTCATATTTTCCATCTCTAACTGCAATTTATTCACCTTTAAACAATAAAAATTGTTTCAATCCTTCTCACTCACAATAGTTTTTCTTTGCAACCACACTTACAAACAGTTACAGTTACACAGTTACATAGGTACCCCTACATGTATAATATATTTTAGTTAACTTTAAACTCCCTACAACCACTATCCTATTGGATTTTTTGGTGTAATGCTCCAAGAAAGAAGAACCAATGGTTCTCTAGAATAATTATGCAACTGAAGTGGACAAGCAGTGCAAAGCAGATAAACATCAAATAAAGTCTTCATAATTGGAAGTAGCTCTTCTTTCCTGGCAAAAGTACTATAGGTTATACTTGCACAACTCTTACTGCTATTGTTTTTGTACTGAAAGCATACACGAGCAGAATATTACCAAGATACTGATGCTAAACCAATTTGCTGAAGAAGGTTTTTAAATGTGTTTTTAAAGACCAGAAGCAATGCCTGCTGTGATGCTTTAAAAAAGCAGATCTGGGTAGAAATGAATGGAGACGAAAGGGTTCAGGGCCTCATTATTTCTGATCTACTTTAAGTTATTTTTTCTTCCTATTTTATAGATTCACCACTGCCAAGTCAGATCCTACTCCCGTATCTAATTACATTCTTAGAATTACAAACTGATATTCTCATTAATTAGAGCCAAGCATGCACATGCATCACATCATAGTTCCATACCTCAATGGAATGTGAGATAAGGGGAATTTGCTGTTATGCTGTCTTTGGAAATATATAGTCCAGAACTATCCCTGAGGAACAGTACAAGAACTCTAATAGGACTAACCACTAAGAGCTTCATCACATACTTTGTTCACTGTGATCAACATCTTTAAGTCAGATTTCTCCCATTTTCTATGTATTAATTTCACTATAATTATTTAAATATCAGAAAAGATCCAAATTTATTCTTACCTTTCCTTCATTAATGCTTGCTTGCTTGCTTTCTGCTGCAACTTTCTTTCTCAAAACCTTATTCTGTTAACATCCATAAGTGTTACTGAGGTTTATATTTACAAACTTTATTAACATTCTGCAATATTATGATTTTTTCTACAGCTAAAACTATGATTGGATAAGTATGAATGTTTAGCTATTTATTTACTATTTAGGACAGATTTTTCCCAAGAAGCTTTTAACAGTGTGCCCAACAGACAAACAAACAAATTATACTACAGCATCTGGAGCACTTCCAGGTGATGTTTATATTGTAGGTCAAAAATGCATTCAATACATTTTTATTTATTTTTATTGGGGTTTATTGTCTTTGTCCACTGATAAGTCCCTGGCTGCCTCAGGGGGTCTGGGATGTGCCAAAGTGAGGGTGGCCATGGCAGGAATGGGGAGATGGCCCGGCTGCACTCAAACAGTTTCCCACTGGTGTACTTCCCTTGACCCAATCAGTGGTGTGGTAGACTCAAGGAAAGGGAGCTGATACCAGGCTTTGTTATGTTTTCCCTCTGTTCAAGCTGTAGTTTCTTAAAGGCAGCCACAGCCTTGGCTCAGCCTCTTTTCATGCAACAACTTACTGCTTACAAATCTCTTAAGAAAGAAATGATAGAACAGCTATACAGTGCCTTCTGTTAGTTCTAGAAGCCATCTCTGGAAGCACCCTTTATAACAAAGTCTGGAGGACTTCCTTCTCTTTTTTAAAATGGCTTTAGGATTAATATCATAGAAAAGACAAAAAAAAGAATACTTAACCTTTTTGCCAGATCTGACCTGAACTTTCACTTCTACCTAAGTTTATAAAAATGGACTTGTATTTAGAAAGTAATATTTATAGTGTGATTTGCTGCTTGTCCCAAAGACTTACGGGCATCCAACAACTACTTATGAGGATAATTAGAAAACCTCTCTATGCTATTCAATTACACCTTCAGTCTAAAAAAACTTTGCTTCAGAATGATAGAAATATTTACACCAAATGTTTTGGTGTGACCACATTTGAATTGTAACAGTTGCTATACATTAAAATTGCATTTATATTTCTATAACTCTAAATACTTACTTCTTGCTGTATTTCATCAATATTCTTTGTTTTTGTTTCAATCTGCTTCTTTAGACTGTTAATCTAAAAAGTGTTAAAATATTTCAAACAATAATATTTTGCAGTATTAATTTTGGCAACAATGATTTTGTTAGAATATTAAAAGTTACGATTTCTTGTATATAGATTTCCTTCACAAACTTGCTATATCTGAAGTCCTGCACATATTTATATATTGACTGGGGAAATGTAACCTAGAGTACTTCTATCAAGTTTATTTTGGTGGAAGTTAAGCATATGGACAAACTCTTTTCTGATACATGGTAACATATGATTGTTGTTCTGTTAAGGTGCAATCCAATGAGGCTGGAGGGTTACAAGCATCCAATGCATGGGTAGTAGGAACATAGAAAGCAAGGTTGCCTCCATCCTTTTCCCAACATGCAAAAGAGTCAATTTATGTTCCCCTATTTCCTCACCCTGCCCCCAAAATCCAATTTGAGGTCATTCCTATGACCTTGGACCACAGCTGGAACAGTTCTTTCCATGCTAGTTGTGAGAGTGGAGTGTGCTCTGAGTTTGGAGCCCCAGCTCCAACTGCAGAATGAGTGAGTTCAGAGAAAGAACTCTTAAAAAACCTCTATGGCTGTCTATACTCTGACTAGTGACCATGCCGCCTGAAAGTCATAATTCAGAACTCATGATTAATGTATTAAAAGCTGAATCAGATTGAAATACATAATTCTAACATATCATGTCAATGATGCATTTGCTTTCTCTGTATAAAAATACTGAAACATTGTAGAAAATATAAACCATTTAATTTTGTATAATGTGCCATAAGTAGGTTATTACATTTGCATACCTTGTTTTCTAATGTTTTCAGATGTTTTTCCTTTTCTGAAATTTCATTTTCCAAATTTCTAACCTGAAAACATATTGTAGATTCTGACAAATGTTTTAAAATATATACTACTTCCATTTAAATCTTATATTTTCCTACTGCAGCATATAATCAAACCCACACCTTGCATTAACAGGAAATTCATGATATCAAATAGGGCCACAGTTCTATCCAATGTATAAATTGTAACTATTTATTTGCTTACAATTGATATTTTTTCTAATAATTAAAAACACTGAAAAATAGTTTTATTGTTCTGGCTTCCAGAAAACCATGGTAATATACTTATGCAATACAGCTAGTGGTAACTAAGCCAATACTGTCAGCTTTTTATAAACTATTTTCCCAGAGTTTTTAGTGTGGCCAACAGTTAAGTCTCAGTTTTGGCAAATTCTTGAAAATTCATATTCTTAATGACTGTAGTGGGAAGCAGCTCGAGGTCTGAGTAGAAACAATTTGGTGTTGCATCAAGAAGAGATGGATCTACGCTAGCCATTTGGTTTGGGCAGTACAAGCTGTCTGATTGACCAGTAGTGTTAGCCCCTGGATATTAGTCAGAATGAATGAAAGTGAAGAAGGGGACGAAAACCTTCTTTCTTCCTTTTTACTGCCACTGCAACTGCACTGTTCACACTTAGAAGGATCATTGGAGAGAGGAGGTTACAAGAAAGACTTGTTGGAATGAGGTGAAGTTCATTGGAATAGGGACAGAGAAGCTAAGCATCTTTTCTGACTTTATTTTTTATCTGCAATGGGAATGATTCAGGGGGCTTTAAATCTCATTTCTCTAGTCCTATATCACCATTAAGGATCACAGACAGTACCAAACTGTCTCTTCAACAGTGGGAATTTAACTAATACCACTTAAGAACAGCTAAGTAGATAAAAAGTGTACATGGGTGTGCTCTATGTGCCAATGTACTTTTGTCTATTTGCAAGATTTGGATTCTGACTGATTCAAATGTCTGCTTCATGGAAAAACAAGTAAAACCAATTCTACTACTGGTTTTCAAATGCATTCTCAAACAGCCTCATTAGCCAAGAGAGAGAGGAAAAAGAAGCAGAGGAAAGGACAGCCAGATTCATAAAAGTGACCTTTCAGTGTGATCTACTTTCTAACACATATTTTTGTGAAATATCAGTACAGGTATACCTTGCCTTATGGTGCTTTTCAGATATTGCTCTCTGCAATTATTAGATTGATGTGTGACTTGCTTTTATTGCATTTTCACTTAATTGTAGTGGTCTAGAACCAAACCCACAATATCTCCAAGTTATGCCTCTATATTGCACTTCACAGCCATGACCCAGCATCAAGAGTGCACTTCCACATCTATCTTCAGCAGGGGTTGCTCACTTAATGTCTCTGTCTCACAGTTTGATATTATGATTCTCAAACTTTCAGTATTATGATTCTCAAACTTGATATCTCAAACTTTTTCATTATTATTACAGTACTATATATTTGTATATCTGGTTATCTGTGAACTTTGGTGTACAATGGTTGTTTTGGGGCTCCACAAACTGCACCTGGCTTGCAACTCAACATTAAGAAAACTACGATCATGGCATCCGGTCCTATCACTTCCTAGCAAATAGATGGGGAAGAAATGGAGGTACTGACAGATTTTATTTTCCTGGGCTCCAAGATCACCTCAGACGGGGACTGCAGCCAAGAAATTAAAAGACGCTTGCTCCTGGGGAGAAAAGCTATGGCAAATCTAGACAGCATACTAAAAAGCAGAGACATCATCTGCCGACAAAAGTGCGTATAGTCAAGGCTATGGTTTTCCCAGTTGCAATGTATGGCTGTGAAAGCTGAACCATAAGGAAGGCTGAGTGCTGATGAATTGAGGCCTTTGAATTGTGGTGCTGGAGAAGACTCCTGCAAGTCCCTTGGACTGCAAGGCGATCAAACCAGTCAGTCCTAGAGGAGATCAACCTGGACTGCTCTTTAGAAGGCCAGATACTGAAGTTGAAACTCAAATACTTTGGCCACCTAATGAGAAGGAAGGACTCACTGGAGAAGAGCCTAATGCTGGGAACAATTGACAGCAAAAGAAGAAGGGGACGGCAGAGAATGAGGTGGCTAGATGGAGTCACTGAAGCAATTGGCGTGAACTTAAGAGGGCTCTGGGGATGGTGGAGGACAGAAAGGCCTGGAGGAGTGTTGTCCATGGGGTCGTGATGGGTCAGACACAACTTCGCAACTAGCAACAGCAACAACAACAAAACTGCACCCATGTAAGATGTGTGTGTTTTGCCTGCTCCATCTGCTGGACGTTTCTCTGCCTCTCTCCCTCCCACTGGCCTGAGACACAACAATATGCATTGAAATTAGACCAATTACTGCACTATGATAGCCCTACAATGGCCTCTAAGTGTTCAGGTGAAAGAAAGAGTCACACATTTCTCACTTTAAATCAAAAGCTAAAAATGATTAAGCTTAGTGAGAAAGGCATATTGAACGCTGAGACAGGGGCAAAAGCTAGGCCTCTTGCACCAAAGTTAGCCATGTTGGGAATGCAAAGGAAACATTCTTGAAGGAAATGAAAAGTGCTACTCCAGTGCACTTCAATCGATGTGGAAAACTTCATTATTTTCTTATTTTAAGAAATTGCCACAGTAATCCCAACCATCAGCCATCACCACCCTTATCAGTCAGCAGAAAGCAAGACCTTATACCAGCAAAAAGACCACGACTCACTGAAAGCTCAGATGATGACAATGATTAGCATGTTTTATCAATAAAGTATTTTTGACTTAAAGTACTCTATTGTTTGTATATTTTTAGAAATAATTCTATTGCCCTTTTAATAGACTACAGTATACAGCAGTATAAACATAACTACAGTACATGTAGCCTGAGTAATTGCTATGTTAGACTTATTGCTGTGGTCTGGAACCAAACGTGCATCTCTGAGGTATAGCTGTAAGCATGTATATAATTGCTTTGTAAATGTATTTCCTTAAGTTTGGCTTTTTATTTTGTACTTCTTTTGCACAGCTACAATTATTTTAAATTGGTATGGGTTCAAGAGCTATTACATGGAAGAGAAATCCTTGAGAAGACTATTAAGGAACTGCAAGAAAGAGAAAAAGCGCTAAAGGTTACTCTTCAGATCCAAGACATATGACAGTGTCTATTTCTAGTGAACTGTACTCTAACTTAATTGCACTTGTTCCATAGACACATGAGCTGAGGATCTTCAAGGCAGGGGGCTTCTTTGAGTTCCTCTGGCTGACTTGCTTGTGGACCTGGCTGTTGGACTCCACCCACCTGGCACGGGATTGGTGTGGCAGGAGGCAATCAGTTGTGTATTGGGGTCAGCACAATAGAGCACAACAGGAGGCTTGTCAGCCGCCCCAGGCATATACAGAGTGTTCTGCTTAAAAGGATAGGCTAGCTGCAAGCTGCTCCGCTTTTGTATCAAAATATGGACTAACCGCAAAACCGTCTCGCCTCTGTATCATGCCAGCTCACTTGCGTAGGCTGTCAAAAACAATTCTCCCTTTGTTTGTAACAAGGTATAAATACTCCGTTGTCCCTCTACAGGGCGCAGCACCCATCCCGTCCTTGTGGGAGAGTGTCGTCCCTATACAGGAAATAAAAAAAACCTTCTCTTAAAAATACCAACTGGTCTCTAATCTCATCTGTAAAACCATGGGACATAACAGTGGCTCCTCCACTCCTAATTATGTGCCTACCTGCTGCAGCACCTCCTCCATTTGTGGGTTTCTGAGTTGGTTTCCTCTTTTAGGAAGATGCTAAAGGAAGGCCTGTCTTATTCACCGGGTAACCCCTCTATGTCCAATATCTGTTCTAGAGATACACCCTCACTGCCAGGAAGTGAGAAATATGGGATGAGAGTTCTTTTGATACCCTCATGCATGTCTTCAAGGGGTTGCCCTGTGGCAGAAAAGCTGTTGATTACCATCTCGTTGAGATTGGTGATGGTGCTGTGCTGCATTTCCCCCAGAAGCAATTACCATACATCAAAGATCACAGATAGCCAGATTTACAAATATACAGAACTGTAATAATAATGAAAAAGTTTGAGATACTGAGTTTGAGAATCACAACACCAAACTGCAAGATAGAGATATGAAATAAGCGACACCTTCTGGAGAAATTGTGCCTGTAGACATGGACATGTATGCTCAACAGCTCGGTCATTTCTGTGAAGCACAATAAAGGCATACCTTGGAGATACTGAGATTTAGGTTGCAGACCACCACAGTAAAGTGAAAATAGCAATGATGTGAATCACACATCGATCTAACAATTGCAGAGGACAATATTTGTCAAGCACAATAGCGAGGTGCAATAAAATGAGGTATACCTGTACCCAGACATAAGACCCATTGACTTCAATGGGTTTAATTCCAGGTAGGTGGGTACAGGACTGCAGTCCTACTGTGAAAATATTTTAAATGGATTATATTTGCATTATTTCCAAAAATATAGTTCAATAATTGTTTCAGATCAGCATAACAATATTCAGAAAGTATATTCATTGGTGCCTCGATATGGAATTCACCATTACAAGAGAAGTATTATCTGCTAATAAAAGTGATTTTATTATTGCAAAGCAATTTGATAACCATTATGATTCATAAATAAATGTTGTAATATATATTAATAGTTTATCCTTATTCAGGTGTGCAAAACCCAAGTAGGCTAAACATTTAAGGAAAGAGAGCCCTCCAGCCTTTTCTCTTGCTACATTCATATTTTACTTGTGGATTTGACATTTTGAAGTGAAGAGCCTGTAACTGTGGAGAGTCTCCATGTAATCTGGTGTTCCAGCTCACCTGATGAAGATTTCTGAAGAATTTGAAAGTATGTAATTTTTTGTGGAATTTTAGTTGGTCCTAATTGCTCAGCTATGTATTTGGAGTTTTTTCTCATGGACTAGCACAGGTATTTTTGTTTTCACATTTTTAGAAATTTTTGGTACAGTACTATACAGTAATATACCGGCATAGGGACTCTAACAATTATGTGTGCACAGCAGTGGACGACAAAGGACTAAAGTCTGGCATTTTGCTAGTTTCCTTTCATTAAATCAGATTTGTAAAAATTCTATACAGGCTTGCTAAACCCAAACAGGTAAAACATTGAAAGGAGAGAGAGCTCCAGACCTACATTTTCCCCTGGTTGCATTTTGTCACTCTTGGATGGTGGAAATCTGAGATCCAAGAAACTGAGATCCTCTTCTATCAATGGGTGCATTCCATGTGATCTGCAGCCTACTCTGAGCACTGATGAAGTAATTGATACCAGTGCTTTTGCACTACTAATAACCATTATTTAGTTGATTGGTTCATTATTTGTTTTATAAAGCAGCAGTTGGTGAATTTTATAAGATGTCATTTTGCTTTGTTGTTTTTTAATCTGCCCTTTTTCTTTAGGATGGATAAAACAAAAACATATGTATGAAATAGAGAACAAGATTATAAGATTTCTAAAACAATGAATTGGTATAAAGATGGGGAAACTCACAAGAAGACTACATTTGGACATGGGATAAGTGATCCTGCAAATAATGAAAGAAAGAAGGAAAACTATACACATGAAAGCCATTTCCAGCATAGCTTTGTGTTATGTACAAAGCACAATTATTTGCAACTGCAGTCCATTAGATGACTCCCTGTGCAGTTACACATTTAATTTGTATTGGAAATGTGTAGTTCCTCATGTGGGACTAAACAGAGGAAACAAAGTATGTATAGTCCTATCTCAAGCTAATTTTCTATGAGAATGTATAATACCTAATTGTGATATGAGATGATTTCATACATTCTTTTTATTTTATACACAAAAGGAAAAGACAAAAAGCAACATGAAAAAGAAAGAAAAATATAGCAAGAGGCCTTACATAAAAATTATAGCACTAAGTGTGGGGAATTACACATAAAGTCAATGTTTATTATCTATCAATTTTATAACTATAAAGTAATTATTGACATAATAATATCAATAACTGACATATAATATCACTGAGAGCCAGTGTGGTATAGTGGTTAGGAGCATGAGACTGGGACTCAGACAATCTGGGTTCTAGTCCCCATTCAGCCATGGAGCCACCTGGGTGACTTTGGGCCAGTCACAGACTCTTAGCCCAACCTAACTCACAGGGTTATTGTTGTGGGGATAAAATGGAGGAGGAGAATGATATAAGCTGCCTTGAGCCCTTTGTAGGAAAAAGGCAGGATATAAATTGACAAATAAATAAATAAATAAAACTTTAACATGTGTATCAAGTGAATAATAATTTGCCTTGTAAGTTATCCACAAACCCACCAGCAATTAATATTTTCCCCAGATAAAACAATATCACAATAAAAAGTTAAATTCATAAAGCAATTATATTAATTTGATAGGTATAAAATAGGTATCATTTTATACCTAATACTTAATAACATCTGAATTGCAAAATAAAGGATAAGCATTACATTCATTTTTGAATTGAAAGAAGAAAACTGGGCAATCTAACCTGAATAGTAGAGTCAGCACTTCTTGTTTCATTTTCTTTTATTAATAAGGTTTTTTCTGATTGTGCACACTCTAGCTGGTGCTCCAAATCTTTCTGAGCATGCATTGAACTTTCCTAAATTATACAGAAAATATTTGAAAGCCATCTTGTAATAAAGTACATGTAAAGTATGTATTATATTTTAGACTAGTTATAAAAACTGAAGGATACATTGGGCAGTATCTAATCAGACACTTCTTCCAATATGTATTATCTCCAGCTCAATGTCTGCCCTTCCCATATAATGTTAGCTGGTACAACAGGGAATCCCATTGCACCAGTTCATGATATAAGCATTATGCTAGAATCTCTGTACATTCATGTAATACAATTAGCTAGTCTCTGTTTGTTACTGCATATTACATTAAGATAAAGGTAGCAATTAAATGGAGAGTGATCTGACTTTATAAACCTGTAGGAAAACTAGGTACTTTGATCATAGTTAAATAGTGCAATCCTAAACATATCTACTCAAAAGTAAGTTCCACTCAGCTCAATCATATTAACCTTCAGGTAGGTTTGTATAGCATTGCAGAGTTAATAGGTTTAAGAAAGTAAACCAAAACTGGTAGAGAGACTTATAAATTCACAATCTAGTGAAGTAAATGTCAGATGCAATATGATGATATAAAGAAGAAACCCTTACCAAGGCTCTTGCTATTTCTTCAGCTTGTTTTTCTTTATCATTTTTCAGTTTAGCCATAATTTCTGCAACAAATGCAATTGTTAATCAGGAAAAATATAGTGATGTTATTTGCTTTTTGTCTTCAACTAAGCAAGATGTTGAAGACTACTCAGATATTTCCTGGGTACACGATTACCCACACACAAGGGCTGAACATGGACTGGGTGTGGATTGTCATTGAAAAGTAATGTTATTTACCTGTAATTGATGTTCTTTGAGTGGTGAAATATATGGGCTCTGAACCTGCATGGGATCTGTTGTTAGAAAGATTTTCCTAGCTAAGTTTACTTTGTTGATTTACTAATTAGCATATGTAGGTAGGGCTCCCACCATTTTCCCCAATTCCCATGAGACCAATGTTTCAGCCTCTGGACTTGAGAAGGAAAAGCTGGAACAGCTAAATTACAGGACCGAAGGATAGAAGTTAAAGGGATTGAAGCAATTGTTACAGATGCAGGATCAGTGAGTGGGCTGTGTGAATGCACAGATAACAACTCAAAGAACGTAGTTAAAGGTAAGCAATCTTACTTTCTTCCCTGTGGTCTCTGTGCATCTGTGCAATGGGTGATTAGAGAGCTTACCTCGAAATAGAAGGTGGGTAGAAAGAACAATCTTGTCTTGCATGGACATTGAGCCAGTAATGCCAGACAAAAGTCAATGGAGTGGACTACATAGCTGCTTTGCAGAGGTCCTGTAGTAGGATGCCACATGCACTATCATGGATGTTGCCATTACCCCAGTGAAATCTACTCCACTTGCTTCAGGGATGGGCAGTCCAACTAGCTGTTCAGATAATTTAATAGTTTCAGTAATGCAGTGAGTAAGTCATTGGATACTGGTGGGCTGACCCCTGGACTCTTTGCAATATGCCACAAACAGTCTCTTGGATTGGTGAAGAGATTCAGTATGGGACTGATAGAATGCCAGCATCCTTTGCACATTGAGGGTATGCAGTGCCAATCCCACCAGGGTGGATGGCACTGGGAATAATGCTGGCAGTACAATGTGCTGCATGACATTGGTAGGAACTGGCAGGACAGAGGATGAGAAAAATTGGAGAACCTTTCTGCTGTCCCATGGAAGGAAGAGATCACTGCCAAATAGACTCTGATGGAGCATGGTTTTCAAGGTTCTAGTATGGAGTGTGCAGAAGAAGCCAAGTATCTGCTGGATGGATGCCCAATGAAGATCAAACACTTTCTACCAGGCAAAGGCTGTGACGGCATTTCATTTGGCTTTGTAGGAATGCCACATCTTTGGCCACAGGGCTGCCTCCAAGATCACTTGTATTTTGGTACAGAAATGGGTCTCTCAATCTACTGGCTGATACTCCACACTATCAGACAGGTAGTTCTGATGTCCAGATGCAAGATCATGCCTTGGTCCTAAGAGATAATGTCCAGAAAAAGTTGTGATTCAACAAGTGGAGAAGGTGGGTGAACTACGCCTACCAGGGCCACCACAGAATCATGAGGATACAGAAGATGCTTGACTGCTGGCTAGTACCCTGGTGATGAGTGGGAACAGATTGGCAGTTAGTCTGAACTAGATGCACAGCTGTTGGTTCTTCTGTTAATGCAGCCCAGAATAGCTTTGCTCTTTTAGCATCTGTGTCACATCATTGGCTCACATTTCACTTGTGAACTACAACAACCCTAAGATCCTTCTCATTTGCAATATTGTTGAGCCAGGTGTTCCTCATCTTGTAGTGATTCATTTGGTTTCTTTTTCCTAAGTGGAGGACTTGGTATTTGTCCCTGATGAATTTTGTTGTTTTCTGCCCAGCATTCTAACCTATGTTGATCTGTATCTTTTCTCTGTCTTCCAAGGTACTTGCTATTCCACTCAGCTTTGTGTCATCTGCAAATTTAATTATCTTTCCTTGTACTTCCTTATTAATACAAATGTTGAACAGTCCCAGTCCCAGGTCAGAACCCTGTAGCACTCCACTTGTCACCTCTCCCCAGTTTGACAATGTGCCATCTTTGAATCCAATTTTGTAGACGATTGTGGATCCACTTAATGATTGCACTATCTAGCCCGTTTTTGGCTAGTTTAGTAATCAGGATGTCATGGGGCACTTTGTCAAAGCTTTGATAAAGTCTAGATAGATTATGTACACAGCATTCCCACAGTCCATTTAGAAGGTTACCCAGTCAAAAAAATGAAATCAGATTAGTCTGGCAGGATTTGTTCTTGAGAAATCCATGTTGGCATCTAGAAATTACTGCATTGTCTTCAAGGTGTTTTACTCTCACATAACTCCAGTCCTCTCTCAGTTCCATTGGTTTCCCATTGAAGTCTAGGCTCAATTTAAGGTGCTGGTTATTACCCTAAATGGCTTGGGACCAGGATACCTAAAGAAACTTCTTTTTCCATATATGCCCTCCCACCCCTTAAGATTGGTAGCAGAGGCCCTCCTCCAGGAACCCTCTTTGAAAGCGGTCAGGAGACAGAGCACTCGGGGGAGGGCTTTCTCTGCAGTGGCACCCTGACTATGGAATGCGCTCCCTAGAGAGGTCTGCCTGGCACTGTCATTATATGCTTTTTGGCGCCAGGTCAAGACCTTTTTATTTAACTAATATTTTAATATTGATTTTAACTGTGTATGTATTTATTTAACTTTTTTAACTATTCTATTTTATGTATTCAGTTGTGGTATAGTTAGTTTATTTTGTTTAGGATTTAGATTATATTGTAAGCTGTCCAGAGATGACCGTGATGAACAGCCTATAAATGTCCTAAATAAATAAATTGCTGTAGAATTTTTCCAAGGACTAATGTCAGACTACCTGGTCTATAGTTCCCAGGTTCATCTTTTTTGTCCTTTCTTGTACATAAGGACAGCATTAGCCCTTTTCTGATCATCTGAAACTTCCCCTATCATCCATGAACTCTGAAAATATGATGGAGAGTGATTCTGAGAGTTCTTTTGCTGTGTTGCTTGATATTTATTTTATTTTATTGTCTTCCTGCCTCAGCTCTTGACTGTTATGCCAACATACCTCTTGCTTCTGGCACTTTGAACCAGTCCTGATTCTGGCATTCCTATCATAGTTACCTGCCACACATGCCCCAGACCTTACAGTTTGCTGTGGCCATTCCATGCCCTGATTAAAAATGGATATGGATATCCCAAATATCCTGCAGGCCTTACAAAGCCATCCAACAATGTTGCAAGCAGAACTCCATGTCCTGAAAGCAGCCCCTCTGCCTCAATGAGCTCCAGCAGGCCCATTGCCAGCATGGTTTCATGGCAAGCAAAAAGACTTAATAAGGTTTGTAAACCAGTGCCAATTGCTCTCACTAATGTGCCCAGAGATTTATCCCACACAATGCAGCTAGGTGTACCTGATGGTAAGCTTATTTTTATGTGCAGCCTTAGCTAGGGTTTTTCTACTTCTAAGCCCTTCTAATTTCCTCCATGGAATGTGATTTTTTTTAGCCCAAGTACACTAAGCCCTGCCAACCATTCCATACACAGGGCCCTGACTGACTGAGTAGAGACAACCAGAAAACTTGGAGTCCTACTCCGTATCCCAGGAGGGCTGCCTTTTCTAACTGGGACAGTTATACATCCCAGAAGCCCCTGGATTCAGGTTCTGCAATGACATCATGACTGTCTTACAGCCATATACTGGGGGTATTCAAAGACCTTTAAGCTATTTTCTAGGGCTTTTTGGTAGCCAACTTTATAACATGACATTAGGAACTATGTTTGATCCTGTGGGATGGCCACATGGGTAAAAATTCCTCACCAAAAGCTTCAAGATCTCTTGCAGTCTCTACTGACACCTATCAAACTTTGGTCCACATTGTCAGTAGTTTTATCATAGATCTGTACCTATTTCAAGCTCACATAGCCATCTTAGTAGTGGTCAGCTTGTTCACCAAGGTAGCCCATTCTGTTGCTACTCATAGTATACCCAATGCATTGCAAACAGCCCACCTGGTCATGTCCCACATTTTCTGCCTCCATGGTCTGCCAAATGTAGTTGGGGGCCTCAGTTCACATCTTGCTTTGGGCCAGCTATTTTAGATCCTGGGTGACCAAAGGAAATTATCATCCACCTATCATCCACAGACAGATGGGCAGAGAGAACAAGTTAACCAGATACTGGAACAATATTTTCTGTGCTCTTTTTTGGACAATATTTGAATCTTGACTGATACACCGCCGTCCCTCTTGCTTTTCGCCCTCTGAGCCTACTGCAGGACTCTGCCTTGCACCTGTGCCATGGTCCCAGCATTTCTATCATGGTTAATTGCTGTCCCTGTTCCAGGCCTTCCAGTTTGGTTTGGTCACAGAGCCCTTCCTGGAAATGAAAGGTAGGCTTACTTGATTTTCCTGGAAAGAAAGAGTTGTTTCCTATTGAAAGAAGAGAGCAACAAAGAGTCCTACCTGGATGTGAGACATCTGACTTGCTCTGTTGGAGAGGATTAACAAAACCCATTTCAAGAATTAGCACTGGTATCTAGGCAAGTAGTTACAACCTTCTGATTCCAAGGAAACAAAGTACACTACCAAATCCCAATACTCATTTTGATAAATACAGAAGACTTACATGGATAATCAAGGAATAAAACATTGCAATTAGTTTGCAAAAGGCAATGTCTCCTTTTACTTCTGCAGAACCTACCAAGTTCAGCTGATTTCTTTTGGAGCTCCAAAACCAATATATTTGACTCATCCCTTAATTCCTTTTGTCTGTTAAAAGAAAGACCAAAATGTTCGGTATAAGATTTAAGAATAAGTATCAAATTGACTAAATCAGTTTGTCAAATACCTGTGAACTTGGAGGGAAATATTTGTCTACCTTTTAAGACATATATTTATTACTGAATGTCCACTAATTGGTAACGATATATACAAGAATAGAGACATAAAGATGTGCTGTAGCCAGCACATCTTTTTTCCCTCAGACAACAAATAGGCAGAAAAATTAAAGGTCTTATAATTTTATAAAATAAAATGCATTAGAATTCATTAAAATGTATTATTGTGCATCAGATTCTTAGAACAAAAGGGTTTTGAGTAGTGCTTCTCAAGTAGTGCACAAAACACCTCATGAGTAGTGTACAAAATGGCTTGTCTATCCCACTCTCTTTCTAATGGAAAAAGTTCTATGGCTGGACCATAGAATATTTTGGATTCCCCTCCTGAAGACATGGATATTCCTAAAAGCTCAGGAGGAGTTATATGACAATGGGCTCCTTCCAAGTCCTCAAAAGTTGCTGTTGAAATATCTGCTGCAGCTGCTGTCCATGGTCACAGTAGCAGAGCTTTTGACTCTGTCACAGATTCCCAGTGCTCTTAACATTTTATCAAATTCACTTGTCATCTCAAAGGACATGCTAATCCACCTTGACAATAAGGTATGATGTGTTGGTTGTTCTGAAGTCAACCTATGGTGCATCTGACAGATGGTCAGGCTTACTATGGACTGTTCATTCCTTTTTCTTTTCTTTTCATGCTGTCATAATTTAGATTTCCCCCTTTGCACTTTCAAAACAACAGACCATTCTTTAGCAAAAGCTATTTATTATCCAATGCACTTCAAGGATGCACATCCAACCAAAAATGAGTCTCTCAGCATGTACAGAGTGGTTCATTGAAATCAATCTAGCAACTACTTCCAAGAACCCCACTTGTGAGTATCTTTGGGCACCCTCCCTCTGGAAGGGCCCTTTTGGAGATGGGCAAGCCTCTTCTCTGTCCATCAACCCTCTAGTTGGTTGGCCCATCTTGCTTATTTCATCATAGGGTCAAGGGTTATACCAGGCTTGGCTGGCTGTAAGAATTCTCCAATGCCCACTCCCCGCAGTTGTAAATTTTATTGTTACAGTATTAGTCTTTTGTAATCATGGGTTCTCATGTTGTGTAATGTTTTATGTTCTTTCTGGATTTAAATATGATGCAAGCTGCTCAGAGAGCCTATGGCTAGTGGGGCGGCATATAAATCAAATAAATAAATAAATAATCTTTGAGCATTTTCAGTGTCCTCCTGAACACCTGGGAAGAATGCCCTTGAGATAAGCTGCTCTACTTCTCCCATTTCAACTTCTGAAAATTCTGGTTTCCAGGGCCCCTTTTCATCTGATGAGTCCAAATCTTTCTGGCCATGGAAAACACACCAAGAATAACTGTCCCTTTCATTCCCAACACATTCTCCCTTGGGTATTCCAGGGGACCCTACAACATGACCAACTTCTGCCAAGTTGTCTGCCGCAATCATAACCATTTTTAGTGTGTAACTGTTTTCTGTCCCTTTACTGTTTGCTTTTTGAAGATAAGAAAATTCAGCTTGGCAACTAACTTGACAATCTCCAATTTGACAGCCGATGACAGCCCCTTCAAAGATCCTGAGCACCTCCTTGAAAGGCTCTTAGTGATTGGCTGGGGGTGTGTGTATGTGTGTAGTTGCACTTACAGAACTGTAGAAATCAGGATCCTCGGTTGGGTAATGTTGTGGGATACCTGCTATTACTGTGCATCAGGAATCATACCTGGACACTGATCCAAAGAGAGTACAAACAGACATTTTCATCACTTTGTTTTCTCTTGATAACTGTCAAAAGGCAAACTCTCAAGTGAAAGCAAAGTCTCCATTAAAAGGGGGTTTTTGACAAGAAAACACAGTATTAACTGGGGCATATGGTAGCATATATACCTGTTAGTAAAAAACAAAGCAAAAAAAATCCACCTTATCAAAACCATTCCATATTTTTCTCATCAATGAATTGTTTGTAATAAGAGAATATATTAAGCAAGTGGTAGATTCAGTAGAGAAAAGATGTTACAAGTGGAAGATGACTTTATGTAGATGCCTGTAAGTCTATGAAGCACAGCACAGCAATTGCATTATAAAAAGAAGTACTCATAGTGCTATGTCTTTATTTCTTTACACCATGTTACCTCCTTTCTTCTTTCTCTAGTAGCTCTTTCAAATTAGAAATTTTACTTTGGAGTTCATCAATAACTGATCCATGTTGAACTATAGTTTCTTTAAGTTCTTTAAGCTCTTCTACTGCCATTTCCTTTTGTTCTGTGACTTGCATTAGAGTTTTCTCTGCAGTTTGCAACTCAGTTTCTAAACACTTACAAGTATTCTATGCAGAATAAAAAGTAATATCAGATGCATTCCACTTGCACATTGTAATATTAATTACAAATTCCTACTCATAGGAATTTGCATGTTATTACTGTTTTATTTATATTTCATTTTATTTTATGCAAAATATTCCAAGGTCATACCTCTGCCATTTGCAAAGAACTTTTCATTTCTTCCATTTCTTTCAAGAAGCTCTGATGTTTGCTTTCTGCATTTTGTAGGCTTTCATCTTGATGTTCTAATAAAGATAAAAGTATTCAGATATTTCTTAAAGCCATGTCATGAAAGATACTTCATAGTCTGTACAGCAAGATATCATACTCTTCCAATTAAATATGTGTTATAAGTTGTCTTAGTACATAATTTGAACTCTGGCTTGTCCAGCACAACTAGCCTGACCTCAGCCTAAGCCATATGTTGTATAGAAATATAACATAAAACTTGAGTCATTGCATGGTGAGGGGTGCTGGGCATCCTACAGGGTGAGCCTGGTTGTGCAAAAACAAATACACATAATAATTATTTTCCAGGTGAGGAAACTAGTGCTATTTTTAAAATGCAGTAGGCAGCTGATCCTCACCATTTTTTTAACCTTCAACTAAACATGTGGATTCCCAGATCTGGTGTGGGCAGAAGTTTACAACTTTGCGTTCAATCATTTCTTTCCTCTAAATCAGGGGTCTCAAACTCGCAGCCCGCGGGCCAATTGCCAGGATGGGTGGGGCATGGGGGAGGGGCCCTGCAGCCTTCAAAGCACCGGCGGCACCTGGGCCAGCCGCGGGATGAACGGCCCACCACCACCGCGGTGGTGGAATACTTGATGCGGCCCAGCCTCACCCAGACTCTACTTCCAGTGGCCCCCAAGTAAGTTGAGTTTGAGACCCCTGCTCTAAATCATCTCTTTCTGACCTATATGAGAGAGAAAGAGAGACTCTACTTTTCAGCACCTCTGGGGAGTGCATTTAGGACAGAAGTGGATGGATGGAGTTTAAACCTCCCATAGCTATGCACTCTTGCCCCAGCCCTTGCTTATTCAAGGTTAAAAAGTGCTGAGGATCATCTGTACAGAACTTAATTGACTAAGCTTAAGCTTCCATATATCCTGAAGTGCCTGATCCTGCTTAATATTGGAAGCTAAGCAGGTTCAGGCCTGGTTGAAATCTGGATGGGTGACTTAATGTTGTGAACTGTCCAGAGACCTTTGGCCATGGGTGGTATAGGAATGAATGAATTTATTGACTGATTGTACATTTAAATTGAATATTAACTTAGTTCTCTGGGTGGTGTACAATACCCTGAAAATGAAACACACATGTTAAAAATAAGAATAGTGCTGAATAAAACCTAGATAAAACCAATAGCAAGTAATAAAACCATTATAATATTATAAAACCAAATTAGAAGCTATGCAATAAAGTGCTTGAAGTACACACACACACAAAGATTTTTAAAAACCTTGGGAAATTCAAAGGTCTTCATCTGGTACTAGAAGAGTCATAACAGGAAGACTTATGGCTAGTAGGATGATAAATAAATAACATAGGCACCAGGTAAGCTTCTCTGGAAATGTCACCATTGAAAATGCCTTCTCTCTTGTCACCTGCCTCACCTCATTTGGCAGAACTTGAAGGAGGGCTTCAGTTGATGAATTTAATGTCTGGAGAGGTAAATTTGTGAAGAGATGTTCCTTGAGCTAATCTGGCCCAAGAAATATAGCGTTTTAAAGATTAAAACTATCTGGGCCTGGAAACAGACTTGCAGAAGTATTTGCATAATATGATAACATTGATTAGTCCCAGTTAGCAGTCTAGGCATCCTGTTTTTGACTAACTGAAGCTTCTGGACTGTTTTCAAAGTTAACTCAATAATCCTAATAGGAAGTGACCAGAGTGTGAATAACTATCATAAGGCTTTATCTGTTGAGATAGGGTGATAGTTGGTTTATCAGCCTAAACCACTTAAAAGTGCTTCAAGCCACCTGTGCCTCTAATGATTCTCCTCACCTCAAAACTATTAATGTGCTCCTTTGGGAGAAGAGCAGCCCCTTCCAGAACAAGTTGAATATCACTTAAATGGACAGACAGATCATCCACAACAAATATCGCCATCTTGTCTGAACTGAGTCTTTGTTGGCTCTCATCCATTCATTACCCTGGCTAAGCATTAGTTCTGAACATCTAGTTTAGGCCTGAGAGAAATAATTCTAGGTCTCAAGGAAATCTTTATTTTCTGTACTAATAATATCATCTGGAGTAGAATTATAAAAATGCTTACTTCTTATTTCTTCTGACTCAGCAATTAACTCTCTTGATTCCTGTAGCTGCATGTTTATGTGTTCTATTTTAGTATTTTGTTCACCATTTTGCTTTATCAATGTTGACACCTAACAAAATAATGAAAAATTTATGTATAATGTATTTAAAAAAACATTATCTAGATAATGCCACCCATGGTATTTCACTTTCAAATTTTATGTTAAGCACAAAAGTTTCATAAGTGCCTTCACAAATACACATGTACACATCAATCAAAGGAATTAAGGAAAGATCATCCCATAAAATAGCCTTATAATCCAGAAATAACGAATGTAACATTAAGCGGTAGGTTAGTACTACAAGAACAACTTTGTATGAGCTCTGGACTCATGTTTCCCACACCCATCTTCTCCTACAGTATAGTATGAGCTGCTAGGAACCAAGCTTAACATATTTTATCCAAATCCTAAAATCTGATTTTAACTCTGGTTAGTTGAAACAAGTAAGCTTGATAAACTATACTGTGAAGTTTCAATTAACCGGACTGAAGCTTATCCATACTTTACTTGGTTCTGATAATAAAGCAGGCTGCTATTAATCTAAAACAGAAGTGAACTCTTCTGAAACCATGTTGGAGAGGGGCAAAAAGTAGCAAAGTTCACAATCCTGAGGCTTACCATGGCTCATTCTCATAATAGTAAACTAAGATTTGTGTTAAATGCTTGGCATGGACATAATACTAAATAATACTAAATAATACAATAATACTAAATCATAACCTAGAGGTTTTTTACACAAGACTCTTACTGCCACTATTACCTCATAGAGTGCAGTATCTACTTCCATTTCCAACTAAATGTAGTTTGTTGTTTCATGATACTGCATGCAGTTAACTTTAATTATGGCTTATCCAAAATGCAGACCAAGGTCTGACATTAGCTTACTTGGGCAAACCTTAGACAGAACTAACCACAGTTTGTCTCAGTTTGGACATAAAAAAATCTGTGATGAGCTGAAAGCAAAAACAAGTATTTCTGATCCCTTCAAGACAGTGTCAGGCATGGGGAAAGAAGTGGAGGCACATAAGCAAGAAGTTCATTCATACAATAGTATACTTTTGTTTAGTGGAGTCTATCTAGTTGTTGTTGGACGCTAATTCCCAACAGTCCACTCGGCAAGGTCAAAGGCCAGTGAATTGTGATCCAACAAGATCTAGAAGTTATCGATTCCCCAATTCTGGTATAGAGTCATGTCGAAAAGTAGCCTGTACTTCTAGTTACATGATATTGTCAACAAAATGGGATGATGACTCCTATCATTTACCTTTCCCTTTCCGTATCAGTTTTTTAGAGCAGATACCTTGTCTAGTTCTTATGATCTTATTATAAAAGGCTATGCCTTCTAGCAAAAAGATTCACCCAGTTATTTCCACAGCAACAAGAAGCCTCTAGAGCTTAGTTCACTGTTTTAGTTAGTAAAATTTAAATATGGATTTTGGATGCATTTTAGTTTGCATTTCTATACTAATTCAGTTTTATAAATGCTAATACAATAAAGCAAACCTGCTTTTCCATGGCATTCTTCTCTCTTTCATGAACTTTTTCAAGCTGTGCTATTTTTTCTGCTTCTTCTTTTACTTTCAATATAAAAAACAGTGGTTATTTTTGGAAAAGTAATACTGATGATAAAACATATGTTTTATCCCTGTAGTAAATGCCTTAACGTGCAAGGCATGTACGCATATGTGTGTATGTCATTCATCTTTGAATGATTTACAGGTATAATAATATCCACCTTTTTTTTCTGTATTCTCATGGACAGGTAACTTCCATGTCTACATGTGTAACAACCAACTCGAGTCTAAGGAAAGATGTACACAGAAAGTGGATATATGCACATGCTGCTACTAAAATGGAAAATGCTTTTCAAATAGAAATTTTAGCTCAAATACTTGTTCAAAGTGCAAATGCATAGATTTTATTTTTAGAAATTCTTTCTCAAAGCGTACGCATGCACGTTTGTTACAAAAAAGAATGGCTTGGTTAATATACTATACCCTAGCACACCTTTTCCTAATTGAGGTATGTCTAGATGTCTTTGGACCTACTCCCATCAGCCCCAGATGGCATAGCCAACGGACAGAAATGCAGGGAGTTATAGTTCAAAACATTTGGTTTCCACTGGATTAGTGTCTTATGGGCATATAGTAAAGAGATAGTGGTCTGAACAATTAGAAGTCCTAACAATAAAATAATATTTATTTAAAACATTTTTCTTCTTCCTTTCAACTGTTTGAAGTGGCTTAAAAATACAGCAATTGTATAATAACAGGTAAACCATCATTGATATATTCTCAACCCTTGTTGAATGTTCTTAGATAGGCTTTTCTACTGTATAACAATTGGTCAAAATGTCTGCTTACTGTACACATAAACTTTAAATAAGATTCTCACATTTAAAATACATTTCCAGTTTGGAGTTTTCTGCTTGTACACGAAGTTCCTCAAAGGCCTGTATCATTTTCTAAAAGGCATAAATAAAAATGTGAAAACAACATTCCTAAAATGGTGGTAAATATATGCAGAATGCATTCAAAAAAATTTAGAATTAACTTCCATATTTCTGTATTGTTAGACCAGCCTCTTGATAAGCATTTTTAAATAATGTGTGTGTGTGTGTGTGTGTGTGTGTGTGTGTGTTTAAAAATGCACTAATGCAAATCGTTGCTAGATCATCTAAAATAGACAGGTAAAGAATGGGATTTTGAAGGCAGAAATAGCAGATGTGGTAGGAATACTAAGGGCTTTTCCATGTGAAACTTTTAATCTTCAATTTTATTGAGATTTCTGCTTCCAGATTCTTTAAGGAATTAAAATGTGCTCTTTTACATTTTTCCAGAGGTTTTCTTTCTCTGTCTTTCTATATGTTCTATTACATAACCATTTAGTGTCACTGTGCTATAATGGAATTGTGTAAATACAAGAGGGTTTCATCTGAGCATTCACAGAAATACCAGACTTCCTTCTTGGGGGAAAAATGCTATTTTGCCAAGATGAGAAGAGGCCCTGGAAGATGACATCCTGCACAGTGTCCAGTTCTGGTCACCACAGTTTAAGAAATATGCAGACAAGCTGGGAAGGGTTCACAACAAGCCAACAAGGATGATCCAGGGACTGGAAACCAAGTCCTATGAGGAAAGATTGAAAGATGTGTGCATGCTTATTCTTGAGAGAGAAGAAGAGATATGATAGCACTCTACAAGTACTTGAAAGACTGACACAGAGAGGAAGGACAGGATCTCTTCTCAGTCATCCCAGGGTGCAGGACATGGAATAATGGGTTCAAGTTACAGGAAGACAGGCTCCAGCTAGATATCAGGAAAAATTACTGTTACAGCAGTACAGCAATGGAGCCAATTACCTAGGAAGGTTGTGGGCTTTCCCACACTAGAAGCATTCAAGATGCAACTGGACAGCCATCTGAGAGGAGTCCTGCACTGAGCAAGGGGTTGGACTTGATGGCCTCCTGGCCCCTTCCAACTCTAGTATTATATGATGCTAAGAAATAAAAGCTCTGTTGTGGTGTTACCTAAGAATATATTAACAATAATTAATTCATCCATAACTTCAGGTACTTATTTAAGGGTTTAATCCTATGGCTGCTAGAAGCTGTCTAGATGGCCATAGGATAAGTTGGTTTACTTCTGAGTAGGTATCACTGGAGACAATGTGATTTATTTTTGAGCAGACATTTGTATAAGTGCCTTTGAACAGATTAGTTTTCTTTACAAGGGAGGAGGGGAGAAGCACCATTTAATTTACTCTCCAGTTCACAGGAGCACAATAAATAAAGGATGATGAAACAACTTCCTCAGCTGCTTTTCCATAAGACACAGAAAACACTGCTGGAAAGTAGCTGTAGAAAAGCATCTGTATGAAGGGAATAAGAAAAGCAGGTGAAAAGGGGCTATATACCTCCTCCCCTGAGTTTCTACTTCTTCCCTTTAAATCATGCATTCCCCAGTACCTTTCCTATGTTTAGGAGGACCTGGAATCCCAGATCTGGCTCTGTCATCTAAAAAGTCTCTTTTTGTCTTTAGTTTATTATTACCTCAATGTTATTGTTAAGATCTACATACATCCGTTTGGTCTCTTCTTGTTCATGTTCACCTAAAATAAAATTAACAACAGGTCAGATTAAATATTAATATTGAGCTGTAAAAATTGCAGAGTAGCAATGATATATTAGTTAGGTATCAATGGTCAAACTGTGGAGGTTCTTCAGAAACAAAGTGAAAGAACCTAAACTTGAGCCCTTTCCATTTACCAGGGAATGCTGTTGTGGTACATCTGCAAAATATATTTACTACTGTTGAGTCATATGCTAATGAATACCTCACAATATGTTGAAAATGTGATCTTGCATCATACACAAAAAACTGTAAAATAAGTGGAGAAAGTTGGAAAGGTGATATGTACAGGAAAATGTTCCTTTTAAAAAGTTCTTTTCATTCATTAAGCTGTATACATGTGCAAAGTAGACAACAACAGTTTTTTAAAAAGTGGGGAGGTGAATTGACAGGTCCTCCTTTCTCCTCAACAAAATCAAATCAAATCAAGGAGATGGGAGTGGGGAGGGTGGAGGGGTAGACTATACTGCTCCTCACTGCCATTCTCCTACCCATCATGGGGTAAATCCAGTGAGCTCATTCCCAAAAAGAAATTCTTAAAAGCAGGTGCTCGTGCTGACTTTTCCAAGAGTAAGCACCACTGAAGACAATGCTTGCATTCATATATAATGACAAGCCAGACTGGAAACTCTGCAGGCATGACTTGTCATTATGTGTAAACCCTGCATGCATGTTGAACAATGGCACATTTGGTTTCCATATAACCATGTGCAGAAACAACACTTTGTTCTAAAGCTTCTACAGTTCATCATGGCTTCTTGTTATCTGTGACCTCAGTTGCCATGCTTCCATGATTCTACCACTGACTTTGGAGGCAAGAGTGGCTGTAGCTACTGCAGATGCTTCAACCTGTGTTTTTCACTGTCTTGTTCTGCCTAGCAACTGCTAAGTTGCCAGCAGCAACACAAAAATTGGCTGCCTCGGTACTCCCTATCTTAGTTGCAGGTACATGGCTTTTTGATGCCTAGTCATAGCATGAGATCATGCCAGAAGTGGGGCACCCCAACATACCACCTCCAGTAGCAGCAACTGTGGAGACAGCCATGCTTGGCACTCCTGCCTGGTCACTGCCCTTTGCTGCAGCAGTACTTTGAAATAGCACTGTGTTTGCGCCACTTCGAGAACCAGTGATGTCCTTGTGTGGAGGTTGTGCTGCATGCAAGAAGCACACAGGCAGTACATGAAGCTTTGCCAAGAGGGTGAGCTCTGAAGATGTGGGTATGGGTATCGGCCTGCCTTTACACTAGCATGGTGTATGGCAGTAGAAGGGAGTAGAAGGCAGGTAGAACTCCCTTCTATGGCAGTAGAAGGGAGTGCTCTTCTCAAACAACAGAGCTACCTTTGTGAATAGGCAGTTGCTTTGCTGAGCAGCCAGAAAATAAAAGAAAAAGAGCTAAGATCATGCCCAGAGGAGCCAAAGAAGGAGAGACAGGCAAGGCAGGCAGAGTCAGAATACTCTGAGACTGACATTCAGCCATGGGAACTAATGGGATATGTGCCACTATTTAGAGGGTACAAAATCATGGAAATCATGCATGAAAACCATGTGAATGTGTGAACATGGGATACAAAGTGAGATCTTATGCTACCAGGTTACTGGGCAGTATTGCTTAGCAGTATGTGTGAGTACAACCGATGTGGCTTACTTCTGAGTAGGCATCACTGAAGAGAATAAGATTTACTTTTTAGTAGACATTGTATAAGTGTCTTTGAGACAATGTGATTTACTTCTGAGTAGCTGTTTCTTTACAGGAGGGAGGGGGGAAACAGCATTTAATTTATCTCCAGTTCATTAGACAAGTCAGAAAAAGAGAAGCTATGGGGAGGGAAAGCAAGTGAAAGTTGGTCGGTCTTATCTGCTTCTCAGAGCTGCTACTGCTTTGTTGAAATGCCACTTCCCGCAGCATACCAGTCCACTGAAGCCACTCCTTCCCTGCCAGAATGGCACCAGAAGTGTAGCACACACTGGAATATATACCTGGCAAAACACAATTTCTTCATCACACAACATGTGATGAAGAAATTCAGGATATCATTGCAGAAATAGCATGAGAAAGATGGTCTGGAGTGTCATGTGACATGCCAGTGATGAAACCATATCAGTGCAGGTAAGAATGTCTATTGAAGATCTGCCCAGGATGCTTTGTAACTATGTTACAACCCAGGATGCCTTTCTACATACTTGTCATATGGCTGAACAAGGGCTGTAGGATCACTCTGTAAACTGTTTGTAAATGTTGTATGTTTGCAGGTTTTCTATTATGTTTGGTCACTTTTCTGAACCATCCAGAGATCTTTGACTATTAGTTAGCATAGAAATAAATTAATAATATTAGCAACAACACTGTTTCAGAGATATTTACATTTGTTGAATTTCTCCATTGATTGCATACACTTTTCTTTAAGCAAGTTGCATAAATGTCTTGTCACGTTGTTTCTGATGGGAAAAAAGTTATGTTATCATTATATTGCTGGTTTCATGAGTACTTCACAGAGCAAATACATCAAAATTTACTCTAGCTGATATCTGCTAAAAACCCATGGCAGGTATGAGAAATGTCTGGCCTCCAGATGTTAGATTGCAACTCCATTAATCCCTCACAATGGGCTTTACTGGGCAGGGCTGATGGGATAGGCAATGCAATGATATCAGGACAACATGCTTTCCTCACCCCCAACTACTGCATAAAGAAATGAAGAAACCCTAAGAGTAAGAAATGAAGGAGAGGAATGACTCATAGAATTTGTGAAGTCAACAATCTTTCATCACAAACACATACTTCAAGCAATTGCTCAGATGACTGCATATATGGACATAACTCAGAATATGGAACTGGAAGAAGAAGACGGGGAAGGTATATTCTTGCTGCCAAAACAAGTTCAAGAGCAGATTGTGGCAGTGACCATGAACTCTTAATAACGAAAATTAGAGTAAAGCTGAAAACGATTTACAGAAATATAATGTCAAAATACAAGTTCAATAACATTCATGAGGAATTTAAAATCCACATAAAAAGCAAATTTGCATTGCTTAATTTACTGCAAGACTGAAACAAGGGACATTATTAGGGCAGAATGTCAAAAATAATGGCAAAAGAAGAAGGGGATGGTAGAGAACGAGGTGGCTAGATGGAGTCACTGAAACAGTCGATGTGAGCTTAAGTGGACTCCAGGGGATGGTGGAAGACAGGAAGGCCTGGAGGAATGTTGTCCATGGGGTCTCAATGGGTCGGACGCAACTTCGCAACTAGCAACAATGTCAAAAGACAAATCCTATAGCAAAAAGAAAGAAAAAGCTAGATGGATTACAGAAGAAACACTCTCTTCTTACTCAGGTGAGAAGCAAAAGGTGACAGAAATAGGATCAGAATCCCTAATGCTACTTTTCAGCAACTATCATGTAGAGACAAAAGGAACTGTTACAATGACAAGTGTAAAGAAATAGAACAAAGCAACAAAAGAGGAAAAGCAAGAAGCTTCTTCCAGAAGATCCAGTAAATCAAAAGGAAATTCATACTTAAATTAGGATTGCCAAAAGACAAACAAGGGAACATAATATCTGACCCAAAGAGAATAAAGACAAGGTGGAAACAACATGCAGACGAACTATACAAAAGAGATGACAAGGTGACACGACTCCTTCAAAGGGGTATACTATGAGGAAGAGCCTGAAATATTGGAAAGTGAAGTGAAAGCTGCTCTGAAAACACTTGGAAGGAATAAAGCACCTGGAGAAGATACAATACCAATAGAATTATTTCAAGTTGCAGACAGTGGATCAAGCCAACCCCTAACAAGAATATGCCAGCACATATGGAAAATAAAAGAATGGCCCACAGCCTGAAAACATTCAATATATATTCCAGGCCCCAAGAAAGGAGATGAAAAGGATGAAGCAACCATAGGACCATAGCACTAATTTTCCACACAAGCAAAGTGATGCTTAAGGTGTTGCAACAAAGAATATTGCCCTACATGGAATAAAAATGCCTAATGTTCAAGCTAAATTCTGAAAAGGAAGTGGCAATTGAGATCACATTGCAAATATACATTAGCTACTTTAAAGAACTTCAGAAGATAAATCTGTGCTTTATAGACTACAGTAAAGCCTTTGACTGTGTAGATCATGAGAAGCTATGGATGGTCCTGAGAGAAATAGGGGTGCCTCATGACTTGATTGTCCTAATATGTAAACTGTATTGTGGACAAGAAGCTATTGTTGGGCCAGAATGTGGAAAACAGAACAGTTTCCTCTAGGCAAAAGCCTCAGAGAAGGGTGTATATTATCTTCCTATCTATTCAATCTCTACACAGAAAATATTATAAGGAAAGCTGGATTAGGATCAGAGGAAGGATATTGGTAGAAGACACATCAATAATATATGCAGAAGATACCATCTTACTGGCAGAAGCAGCAATGACTTGAAACAATTCCTGATAAAAGTGAAAGAAGAAAGTACAAAAGCAGAACTGTAGCTGAATATTAAGAATTTAAAAATCATGACTTCAGAAGAATTACAGAAGATTACTGTCATCAATAAATAAATCAAAATTTGAAGAAGGCTGAGTCTTGGAAGGACAGCAATGAAGGAACTTAAAAAATCATCAAATATAAGAATGCTTCACTGGAGACCAGAGTCAAGATCATTCATACAATTGTATTCTCTATCACTATGCATAGGTGCGAAAACTGGAAAGTAAAGAAAGTTGACAGGAAGAAAATTGATAATTCAAAACATGGTGCTGGAGGAGAGCTTTGCAAATACCCTGGACTGAATGAAAATGAACAATTGCGTCCTATATCAAATCAAGCCAGAGCCTTCCCTAGAAGCAGAAATGACAAAACTGACAATGTCAGGAGAAGACTAAACTCCACTGAGAAGAAAATCATGCCAGGAAAAATCAAAGACAGAAGAAGAAAAGGAAGACTAAATAATATGTATTGACCCCACAAAGGAAGCCAGAGCCTTGAATTTAGAACTAAGAGAGAGATCATAGATAGGACATTTTGGAAGGCTATAAGTCAGAGACAACTTGATGGCAACAGGCCCAAGTTTGTTGCCCCAGATTCTGATTCAAATCTGAAAAAAAATGCACAACTGGATTTCTTATCAGAAATACCAAGGCCATCAGGCCCAGAAATAAGCCAAGAGGCCAGTGAGAACAAGACCGTATTTAGTTCTGTGGAACCTCTGCTGAACAAGTGGAGTTGGATGGTGGCAGACTTAACATTATTAATCTAATAGTATGGCATCAGATCAAAAGGGCATATCAGTCAGATGTTCCTGCCGACTGGCCAACAGGCGACATTAATAACCCTCAAGGTGAAGTCAACTCCTTTTGTTTGGGAATGTAGGAGAGGTATTGAGTTTGAAATCAATTTCTCATTGTTAAGCCACACTTTCTTAATAGGTTGCATTGTAATTTTGCTGGTATCTTTTGTTAATGATTTATTCAGTATTGTTCTGATGTATCACAAAAGCTTGCCAGTGTAAACATAATCAATACTTTAGTTAGAAGTCACTTGGCCTGATGTGGCTGGAAGATGGAGGGGAAAGACCATGTTGTGACAATTATTATGACTGTGTGGATTCTTCCCTCCCACTTATTATTCAAGTCCCTGTGGAATGCGAGTTGTTGCTGGAAGAGAAAGTGGATTCTTTGGTGTGGCTTTGTGACATCCCCACACACCCCTTTTTATATTTTGTTCATCTCTACTCTTTCTGTGGTGTGGGTTGCTGATTGTTGGAAATTCAAAGACTAGTCCACCATGTGTGACCTCTTAGCCCTGCTCCTCATTACCCCTTGCCCCACTTCTGCTAACCTGCTTCTGCTACATTATTCAAGCTGACCACTAGCCTCCTGGATAAATAAGCACTTGGGATGCTTCTAAACATAGGGTCCTAGTACGACCAATCAAAACACATTGTCTAGCTATTCTATCCTTCCATTCATAATTATTTTTGTGGAAACAAAAAAAAAATAGCAGAAGAAACGGTGGGAAACTATAGGAATCATGTGGGTATGTTGACTCCCTTTAACATTCTGTGAATGAGTCAAGGTAAATATATAAAAATACATTGTCTGGAAGAAAAATCCTAAGCTTATATGCAAAAGCACAGTTTAAACTCCTAACCCATACTGACATCAGAGCCACTGAAGATTAAAAACAACATACTGGTCCTTTTTTTTTTTTTTTTTTTTTTGTAACATTATGAGCCAGTAATTCCAAGTATATGCTTATACCCTGGAAAAAATACATTTTTTTCTGGAATAGATTAGATCAAATCAAACCAGAGCTTTCCCAAGAAGTAAAAATGACAAAACTGAGGCTGTCATATTTTGGGCACATAAGAAGGCAAAATTCCTGGAGAAGGCAATTATTCTAGGGGAAGTTGAAGGCAGAAGAAGAAAAGGAAGACCAAAGATGATATGGTTTGATTCTATAAAGGAAGCCACATCCTTGAATTTACACAAGCTGAGCAGGACTGTCATGGATAGGATATTTCAGAGGGCTTTCATTCATAGGGTCACCGTAAGTCAGAGATGGTACACAACAGATTAGATTTGCAATCACTAGGTTCCACATCTGCAAAAAAATAAAATAAATGGTGGACTACGTTGCAGAACTCTATTAAGCATGGGATCAATGAAATTGTATAATAGCATAGGATGAGTTATAGCATAAGGTATAAATTCTACAAACATTACTTACTCCTTTAGAAGATATTTATTTTCATGTATTTCCTCTTCTAGTTTTAAGCTTAGCTTTTCATTTTCAAACTAAATGGATACAAGACAAATATTCAAGAGATATGGTTCTGTCTGAATGAACTAATTGTTACACAGACATGTAAAAATTGTCACTTTATCAAGATATGAATTTATTAGACTTAGATTTTTGGTTATCAAATTTGATATATTTTCAGACTTATATCTGGAATTATGAAAACTAGAAATAAACAGGTTTTAAAGAAAGCTCTGTTCCTACAAGATGTTTAAAATAAAAGTATTTACTTTATCATTACATTTCTAGCCTAACATTTTCCATTAAAGGAAACGAAGATAGTTTACATGATTCTTCTCTCCCTGTTATCTCCATAAGAACCCTATAAGGTACATTAGGCTGAGAGTCAGTAACTTGCCCAAACTCACCCAGTGTCCTTCATGACCAGCTGGAGAGTAAAACCAGGATGCCTTAAAGCAGTATGCCATACTGCTTCTTGTATGAATCTTGCACTCTGAAAACTGTATGTTTCGCTTTTATACAGTTTACTTACTATGAAAGCAAGAAGTTAAAGGGTTTTTTTTTACCTATTTGTATTGTATATTGTTTTTGTGCGATGAAATTTATTTGCTTTTTGTTTTTAATTGATATAATAACAATTTTTAAAAAGCAAGGAATGATCCTTGTGTGGAAACGGTTGCTAGCATGTTGATCAGTCCTGATAAGATGTGTGAAAATTACTGAAGTCATAGGGCCATGGCCTCTAGCCTTCTTCCTCCTGCCATCAGTGATCTGAAGGAGCACTGCCTGCAATGTACTAATTAGACAAGATGAAGATGCACACATGTTCTATTTTACATTTATTTTCTCTCTCCTGTAACTCTTCAGTTGTTGTTGTGAACCATCCCAAGATGTTTGTGATGGGACGGTATACAAAAGTTTTAAATAAATAAATAAACTATTTATTCATTATGCTGTTAATTAACAGTAAAATATAAATTAACAGACTGTAGATAAGTTTGCGTAATAAACTAGAATAAAACATGATTTATACATTTTCAAAAAATTATAAACAGTATTTCCCATTAATCAGACAAAAAAATGGAAAAATCACATATCAATTTTAAAAACTTATTTGGCTGCATGGAGCTATTACTATCTGGTTAATTATCTGGACTAGATATCCTTAACACAACTATGCCCAAGTTTTAACATTGTTTGTAAATTGTGATCACAAATTCCATCAAAATCCTGTTTAAGGGCATGATTCATTGCAATGTAGGTGTAAACCTCTTTTCCTGCTCTGACCCATCAGCTCACATACACGAATGACACTGCAGCTTTTAGAACAATACTAGGAATGGTAAATCTGTTCCTCAGAATGGATGAAGGGTGTTCAGCCCCTTTTGAATGGGGTTGCACTCCTTTGGAAAGAACAAATTTGTTGTGAATGCTCCTTGAATCATCTTTGCCATTTGAGGCCTAGGTGACCATAATGCATGCAGTGTCTTCTACCAGCTTCAGCTGGTGGCTCAGCTAAACCTGTGGTATCTCAATTACTGCAAGGTACTTTCTGTGGCACTACCCTTGTAGACTGTTTGAAAGTAGCAGCTTCTACAAAATGCAGCAGCCAGATTAATAACCAGGTCCTGAGGGTCCAAACACATACTAATTCTGGCCTGCTTGCAGTGATTGTCTATATGCTTCTGAGCCCGATTAAAGGGGATGGTTTTAACATATAAATCCCTACATGGCTTGGGACCACAATATGTGGGACAGGATACTTGTCCCAGCTGCAATCTACCCAAACTTTACAATCAAGATCTGCAGCCTTGCCTCCAACTGCTGCTTCCAAGGGAGGCTTGGTTGGTTGAAATAAAGAAAAAGACCTTCTCAGTGGCAGTCCCCAATTATGTAACAAGGTTCACATTGAGGGCCACCTGGTGCCAACTGTAATATCTTTTTAGCACCTGGTTAGGACTGTCCTCCATGACAGACCACTTCAGTGTGGTGCTTAGGATGCTGGACTGGGGACTCAGGAGATCCTATTTCTAGTCTGTACTTGGCCTAGTCATTTGGTGACTTTGGGCCAGTCATTCACTCTCAGCCCAAGCTACCTCATAGGACTGTTGTTACAGGGATAAAATGGAGCTATGTAAGCTGCCTTGGATCCCTCACAAGAGAAAAAAGGGAGAGACAAAAATGCAATGTAATAATAAAGTGTCTTTTTATGCTACGTGTATTATCTGCTGTTGTACACCCCCCAGAGTTCCAGGTATTGGGCAGTATATAAAATGTGTAATAAATAATAATAATTATTATTACCACCACGGGTGGTGGGGACAGGGAGAGGACAGATAGCTTGGTGGGAGCTGGTTGGGAGCCACGCTGGGCCAATTTCAGTATTCTGTTCTTTTGTTGGCATTTTTGTTGCTCAGTTTCTGGTGTTTTGAATGGGGTTTTTTTTGGGGGGGGGGGGTTGTGTTTGGAAACTAATACACAGAATACTGTATTCTATGTTTGGTGCTTTTTGTTTCTGCTTCAGTGGTCCCTGAGGTGGTTTTCCTGTTTCCACCGGTCCCCAGCTGTGGAAAGGTTGAAAACCACTTGGCTTACAGGACTCACAATAATATTGTGACCTTAATCCCAGCTGACTAAAAGAACACAGATCTCCTGTTCTCAGTCATGACCCATATTCAATATGGAGAAACAGTGCAGTGAGTGATCTCAATTTCCTGTATGTAGGCAATGCAATGCTACTCATGTTAGGATGGGTCCTGCCCTAAATTTTAATATTTAGGATTTCAATTTTTAAATTACATAGAAACATGAAACAGAGCAAGTCAGAAGGGGTCTCCCGAGCCATCTAGTCTGACCCCCGGCTCCAGCCGGCTTCACTCACGACATGCCCACTCACGACATTACATAGCTCAAAAAGCTGAAATACTTGCCTGTAATTCTTGAATGGCTTTACGCAGTGCTTCTGTGATTTTTCTATTTTCTTGCAATTGTCTTTCCTTTTCCTTTAGTTCATATTCTATATTGACTTTCCATCTCTTTATCTTTTCAGCTTCTTTGTAAAGCATTGAATAAAGTTCATTCATTGTCCCCATGTTCTGCAAAGATAAATTTTAGTCCTTCATGCTGCAATCCTCTACATACTTTTGGAAGCCACCCCAAGGCTTATGCGAATGGGGTGGCATATAAGTTCTCTAAATAAATAAATAAATACATACATACATACATACATACATACTAATCTTATATTCCTGGAAGAAAGATCCACTGAGCATAGTGGGACTTGCTTTTGAATAAACATGCATGAGATTATGCCATTAATATCAACTGTTGTTTAACTGAAAAAATTAAATGAAGCATATTTTCATTTAAATTTCAGCATCCACATTAGCCATTAAAATTTGTATACAAAGGAAAATATATTGATTATGCAAAGATATGTAACCAAGTTTCTGTGATAAGTCTTTTATTTCAAGAAAGTAACTAATGCAATTACTTAGGGCAATATATTGTCCTAATAGAACAATTTCAGACATAGCATTCTTTTTAGCTGATTATTTTATTTCTTCTGTTTCTTTCTTTAAACCTTTTCTAGAGCGTCCCTCTTGGGATGGTTTAACAATAATAATAATGCCCTACTGAAAACTGCAATGTTGGGAGAAATATTAGTTTTCAGCTTTGTAGAAAGTTAATTTTAGGAAGCTCACTAAATTTTATATCAGGAAATCATCACATTTAGACACAACAGTAATGCAGGTTTTAAAAAATGAGCCAGTGCACTGGTTTATATTGCTGTGTCACTTCCAGATGTCTTCTCCTGCCAAGTGAGAGCAGTTAAAGAACTCAGGGAAAATTAGGCATTTAGGTTTGCTCTCAAAATCTGATTATAGAATGGGGGAAATAAGGCGGAGAATCAATCTACAGCAATGCCAAAGAGGCAGAAGTGAAAAATTACAGCTAAAACTAATGAAATATGCGTTCTTATGCATCCAGTAGTAGATTCCTTGTACATGTTATGAATAATGTATATCTAACTGACCTGACCTATCTCAGGCAGAAGTTTTAATTTCTGTGAAACAGGACCTGGAAAAATGTAACATTTTAGGTTGATTATTTTAATATTAGTATGTAAGCAGAAAACACAAACAGTTCTGAAATTAGTAACAAGTTACATAAGTCGTGCAATCATGCTAGGGAAAGTTGAAAGCAGATGTAGACCAAATATGAGATGGAATGACTCTGTAAAAGAAGCCACAGTTTTGAATTTACAAGGGCTGAGCAAGGCTGTGAAGGACAGGAAATTTTGGAGAGCATTCATCCATAGTGTTGCCATAAGTCAGAGATGACTTGATGGCACATAATAACAACAGCAAACATAAGTAACTGTAAAAATACAACTCAATAACAATTTTCTTATGCTCTTGGAATGTGCTATTCTTACTGGTATACATACACCCACCAAACCATCACAGACAACAAATGGAATGTAGAATAGAAGTATTGTATTGGATTATAATTCTTCAAAAGTGCAATAGAAAATTAAAAAAAAAAACTTCGTATGTTATATAGTGCAATTTGAAAATCTTAAATACAGCAGTGCTGAGTCACTGATTACTTTTAATTTCTTTGTTATTTTTGCATGTGTATTCATACCTGTGCCTTCTATATGTTTTGACATACTTTTCGTCGCAAAAGGCAAGTTATAATCATCACTGGTACTGTTGTTAAAATTCTGGAAAAAGCAGATTCTCTTGTTAAAATTCTGGAATATCTGTTCCCAAGCCAACCACCTGAACAAAAGCATTCTTTCTCATGGTAACTGTCTTTTTCCACTCACAGAGAGAACAATATGCATCCATGCATCAAGATCTTATTTCTGAAGAAAGGTTATTTTATCACAATGTTATATTACAAAAAACTTTTAAGTACATGCTATATCAGAACAGGGGTCCATCTAGTCCAGAATTCTGTTCATATGGGGGTCAATCAGCTGTCTGTGAAACCTCACAAGCAGGATATGAGTGCAATTATCACCCAGTCCTTAGTCCATGTTCTGCAGCAACTGTAGATAGGCATACTGTCTCTGATACTGGAGTTAATATTTAACCGGCAAGACTAGTACCCATTGATAACTTTCTCTTCCATAAATTTGTCCATTCCACTTTGAAAACCTTCCAGATTGTTGGATTTCCAGAAACTAACTATTGTATGAAGAACTATTTCTTTTTTGCTGTCTGTGATCTCCCAACAGTCAGTTTCATGGGATGAGCAGAGGTTCTAGTATTAAGAGAAAGGTGGAACTGTGTGCATAGCCACTTTCTCCACACCGTGCATAATTTTGCTTCTCTCTGAAGGCTCCTCTGGTTATTATTTTTGTAAGCCAAACAACCGCAGCTATTGTAACTCTTCCTAATGGAAATGTTGCTTCCCCTTTGATAATTTTAGTTACTGTTTTTTGTATTTTTTACAACTCTGTAATGTCCTTTTTTTTTGCAGTATTCGAAGTGAAATAGCAGCACCAATTTATGTACGCTCAGTATGATATTGGTGGTTTTCTATTTATTTTCCATTCCATTCTAATCATGCCTTTGTCACAGTATATTTTGTTGACATTTTTATCAAGCTGTCCATCACAATCCTAAGATCTCTTTCTTGATTAGTCATGACTACCTCAGAACCCATCACTTTATACATGAGGTTAGGATTTTTTGCCCCACCATTTTTTGCATCACATTGCACTCACCCACTTTGAACCACTTTTGTCATTTTGATGCCCTTTCTCCCAGTTTGGAGAGATCTTTTTGGATTTCCTCACAATTGCTTCAGATTTTAACCAATTTAACTAATTAGGTGTTGTTAGCAAGCTTGACCACTTCATTGATTATTGCAGTTCAAGATTCCAGAATAAGCTGAAAAGTACTATCCCAAATACCCTGTGGGTCTCTCCTGTCTAGAACTCTCACCAGTGGTACAGAGACTGATCTTTGAGACATGTTTAATATTTCATTAGATCAGCAGTTTTATGCTTGATTTCCCTACTTCTTTAAGAACTGAAGTGTTTGAGTACTTTTATAATAATTACATTACTAAGTTACTTGGTTAGATTTTAAAAACAGCTCCAAAAGCAGCATGATATGCTAGTCTTAGAAAATAAAAATAGAGGATTTACCTAGCATGTAACACTCATAATTCATTCTACGAAGCACTTATAATTCCAATACCCACAACTTCCATATTATTATTTTTTATCTTAATATTTGTATAACTTCCCACTCCCATAGGCTCTGGGTAGTTAACAAGAAAGAGAGGGGTTTTTTTTGGAGGGGCACATTATAAACAAATGCATACATGCAGGGAGGTGCCCCTTCCATTGAAATGAAGTAATAAAATATTAATAAATTAGTAATTCATTGGGATCAGTGTATGCAAAGCAATCTAGGAACATAAGAACATGGGAAGTTGCCTTATTCTAGATTGGACTATTTGTCTAGCTGTACCAGAATTAACTGTTGACTACCCATATATTTGTTTAATTTCAAAAAGACTTTACAGTATTGGCTTTTGACTAATCAATGAGATTTTTTTCAATTTTTCCAATATTTGTTCATTTGTCTATAAATGAATGCATAAATGAATATGTATTTATTAAAAATGGTAACTATATTTACCTGAAAAAAATCTCCATCTTGTGTGTTTGTCTGTGGTTTGACAGCAGATATCTGGGTATTACTCAGCCTCGGTGGTACAAACAATTTAAATTTAAATGATTTCTCCTGTTCCATTTTTTAAAAATCTAAAAAGACAAAAAATCAATCTAAAAATCTAAACCCGTTGGCAATGCTATACAACTAATTAAGGATATCCAATGTGTTGTTACTGATTTGTATTTCACCTTTCCAGGTTGTGCAAACTAATATAAAATATTGTATTATCTCATTAACCCTCACAATACTATGAAGTAGGATAGCATTGTTAAAGCCATACTGCAGATGAGGACTGAGGTTAACGGAATTGCCTAAATTAAACAAAAAATAACAGAAAAAGTACTTCACAGTTTGGAAACACACCTTTAGTGACAATGTACTCTGGATAAAGGGTGTTTGTTTGTTTTTAATTCCAGCTTGCACAGTATTAATATGTTCCACTGTTCTTAATTTGTAGTTCTACAAAACATAATGAGCACCTCTTTGGAACAATTTAGCCATACTGCACTCTAACATGGGTATGTAAAATGCATGTTTCATGAATGTTTTAATTATGAAACAGTGATGTTGTCAGGGTGGGACTTTGGGCCAGAAGTTCAGAACCAATTCAAGAGAATTAAGAAAATGGGCTCCCAAACACAGCAGAAGCTTAACGGACTTTGAGCAAGCTAAATGAGAAATAAGACCTTTATTTATGTATTAGATTTATTTTTTAAAGAACTCAAGCTGGCTTGCATTAGTCTCCTCTTCTTGTTCTCAATCTTATATCCACAACAACCCTATGAGGTAGGTTGGACTTAGCATCTGTGACTGGCTTAAAGTCACCCAGCTGGCTCCATGGCTGAGCAAGGACTAGAACCCAGATCACCTGAGTCCCAGTCCTGTGCTCTTAACCACTACACCACCCTGTAACTGCACCACTTGAGGAATAAAAATAGGCACAAAGATTAATTTTAAATCTTGGGATAATATGAATTTGGCTTAGTGCCAGTCTGAAACTCCAAATCCAGGAATAAAGAATGAACTGTTATGGTGGAACTGCCTTCTGTGATGCCACCTCTCTTCCTTCCTAATTTAAGTCACCTTTTCAATGCCCATACAATCTCCTAGTTTCCACACCGTAGTGCAGAAATAAGAAACAGATGTCCCCACAAATGTTCTTGGCCAGGAACTTGTATTAGCCCTAGCCAGCACAGTCAATGGTCAGGGTTGGCAAGTTGCATTACAGCATCTGAACAACCGCCCAGTATACCCAGTAATTTAATTTTGTAGCCTAAACTCAGTGACACCTCCTTCTGGGCAGACATAGCATTGTGCTGTAAACTTATGTTTAACTAAAACAATGGTATATACTCCATTGTTGCCATTTCCCTTCCCGTCCTCTGTTGTCTCCCTGCTTTTGACTTATAAATTTTGATTTGGTACAAGAGGTTCATTTCCATAGTACGGGGGCGTATGTATAAAACTGTTGACCTTCATGTTTTCGCAACTAGAACGGCCTTTATCTGACATGGTGGGTCACTTGTGAACGTTGTTGGTGAAGGCAAGAACCAGTTTTGATCAAATGTTCATTCGTTCCATGGGAATGGAAAAATTATTTTCGAACACATTTCAGTTTAAAGGCAGATCTCCACACACACACACATGCGTGACACTCTCACTGTCAGAGTGATTCAGCTAAGAATAGTAGCCTTGCACTTTTATCATTAACACATTCACACCCACACAACACGAGTGAGAGAGAAGCTGTCAGGATGCTCTTAGCGTCCGGTGAAACCACCGTACTCCTGGCTGCACCTGAGAGAGCAGGCGCGTCTCCGCAGCGACGCAAAATGCCCTCGTCGCTTTCAGCCACAGAGGGGCGACGCGGCGGGAAGGCGACTCTGACGAGGACGACAAATGCCAAGAGGGGGAAGCTGCTGGATGGAGCCCTGAGGCCGGGCGCGGTAGGGAAACGAGTCTGACGAAGGTCTTAGTACCTCCAAAGACCGCTATACACTAACAGCCCCAATGGATGGGAGGGGGAATAAAGAGGAACGGAAAAGGCGGGAAACAGCCAGGGGGCGAGCGGTTTGGAAAGGCGCGTGCTCGCCGGTCAGCCGTTTAACGTGCTTGCCCCTGCGCGCGCCTCCTACTGCACCTTCGGGGGGCGGGGGCGGGGGCGGGGGGGAGCGAGGTATGTTGCAAAGGTTTACGGCACCCCAGTGGGGGCACAACCGTTCCCCTTGCCCACGCATCCCTTTTGCACGGATTCGTCATTTTCAGGTTTGTTTCTAGGTTCGCTTATAGTATGTTTAAGCCGTTCTTTAAGATTAATAATGAAATATGGTGGAAGAAGGAGAGGCCAAATTAGCTCTGCACCGGTGCATTATCCTTCAGGGCAAGGGATACTGCCGGACTCCTGAGCAGAAAGCTCTAGCCTCCTGACTACAAATAGCATGGAAAACTACGAGCAGCACTGGCCTGGAGAGTGGGCCATAGATTAGTGAAAGAGCCCCAGGTTCAGCCAAGGCTACAGCTCTGCTGGGGAGGTATGGCTGGGAAAGACCTTGCTCAGACAGAGAACCAGAAAATACTGTGCAACATGATCTGACTTGATATAAAGGGGTTCTCCATACAAGGCTGTGTACTGGTTTACAACTTCTTAAAATTTCTGCATTTTGACTTGTCTTTTTTAAATTGCCATTACTCTCATGCACAGCTAGGCAGTATGCTTACAAATTGTGCTATTACATTTTATTTATTTATAAAATTTGTGTACCATCCATTACTTGCGTCTCTGAACAGCTTACAACATAAATCAGAATAAAATAAATTGACTATTCCACACTGGCTGTAATTAACAAAATACAAACAATAAAATCCAATTACTATTAATACATATTTTTATTTAAATGGCATTTTAATTGTTAGCTTATTTATTGATTTTATATCTTTGGCCAGGGCATTTCCAATTATATTGTTTTTATATGATTATATGTATTTATTTATTGTTGTAAGCCGCCCCCATGCTTCGGCTAATGGGGCGGCATAGAAAGTTTACTAAATAAATAAATATTGATTAAATAAAAAGGTCTTAACCTGGTGCTGAAAATCATACAGTGATGGCCAGTGCTTTTTTTGTAAAAAAAAAAAAAAAAAGGTGCCGGAACTCACGTCGCCACCAACAGTAAGCACACACACCAGTCCCAAGCAGAGCAGCATCCGGAGCAGCTCTCTCTATCAGAAATTAATTTGCAGAAATTAATTGCAATATCTAATTTATCAAAGCCGCTTCTTTGTTCAGTTAAAAAACAATCAAGTCGCTCTAAAACACACGCCTTCCCTGCACGAACAGAACTGCGATCGTGGCCATCTCCCCACCACCCCCACGCACGCCAGGATGACGGGCGCCCGCAAGGATGACAGGCGCGATCTCGGTCGTGCTGCTGGGATGGTGGAATAACTGCACTTGTGTTTGGGGTTGGGGTGGGGAGATGGCTGCGATCTTTGTTGTTGTTACTTTGCTTCACATTTTTCTGATTTAAAAAATGGTTACAGAACGGATTAACCTTATTTCCATTGAACCTTATGGGAAAATTTAACTTGGCTCACGACCAATTTGGGTCGCAGCCAGAGTCCTGAAATGGATTAAGTTCATGAGCCAAGGTACCACTGTACTTCAATGGCACTCCTGCATCTAGGAGATGAACCAGAAGAACCCAGGGTTCCCTGAAAGAAAATCCAGGCTTACTTAGGTGTTAGCTATTTGGTAAAGGTTTTTATATTCCCTGCAATTATAAATTATTTCTACAATTTTGGGTTTTTTTTCCTCCAAACTATATCACTTTCATATTTATTTAATAGATCTATATACTGTTTACCATATTTTAAAATATCTATAAGCAGGTAGTATCTTTTACCAATGATACTTCTAACAGAGAACCATCATGAAGGATGTGTGCAATGATTGTTTATGAATAAAGATCTTTGGTCCAGTTATGCCTACAAAATGAATTACCATACTGCAAAAGACCAGACTGATAGTGCATTTATTAGACATAAATATACATCCAAAAATATAGCACTATACAAATATGTTTCATGTATTAAAATATTAGCTACATATTCAAATAAGTCATTTACACTATAAAAATTGAAATTATTCTAAAATGCAATAATAACAGTAGCAATATAAAAACATTTCAAGGTATGTTTTTAAAAACCGTGGTTGAAGTAGTATATTGTCTCTATACCACTAATTATTTTAACCCAGAAAAGAATAGGAAAATATAAATTGGGATTTATATATCACAAAATATTATTGTAAATCATTAATACAAAGCTGAATAAACAAATGTAACTAACAGTGAAAGTCATGTATATGTCGTGTAGAAGTTTATTGGAAATGTTAGTTGCAACTGACATCATTTTGATTAAATTTGATCTGATTTGATTTGATAAAATTTCTAGACGACTGTACTAAAGTAGACTTAATAACTAGTGTTGTCAATTTTCAACAGCTTTGAATCTGTTAAAATGTTAGTTGCTTCCTTTAGGGAAAAACATAATAAATTCAATGGTTTATGCATCTTCAGGGAATACTATGAATATATTATTAGCATACTTGGCAGATGCACACAGAAATCTCTTGCTTGGTTAGAACTGTCAAATAAAAAAGATCACATAATTCTGAATACTGAATTATTAGAAATTTTATCTTTTGTTGACATGGAAAACTTTACCTATTCAAAGCAATTATACTGAGAGAAAATAATGATACTGATTTTCACAAAAAACTAATCAATTTGTGATTAGCAACTTATATTCTGAACAATTATTACTATGCTATTTACTACTACTATTGAAAAGTGTACAATATAGGAATTCATTATGTAACACATGTCATTCTTTTATCTCTAATCGTTATTACGTGGAAATGAAATTTTAATAAATTAACATTAACTGCTTGTTACTCTATATATAACTTGGCAAGCAAAAAGGGGTGTGGGGCCTATATGAATAAAGGCTTAAAGACATGCATGTCTTTAAAACCAGAACATTTCAATATACTAACATTTTATAACTCACTTCAAGACATTTGAGTTATGCATTAATAATACTTGCATTGTCCATCTAAGCCCATATATGTTTCATATGGATCCATCAGAGCATATAGCTGCATATAGCTTTGGAATGAGGATGCAATTATTTTGAAGATGCAGATAACATAAAGTACTGAGTTAGAGGCCATCTAAATTCACATTTTCTTTGCATGCACAAATGTTTTACTATCCTTTCTCCATTCACAGAACTCTTGTAGACATATGCAGCTTGGTTTTCTGGAGGTTTGAATGCATCAAACAACACATGTAAAGAACGAAACGGACACTTCTAAAACCTTAACATTTAAAATTGCCTTTTATATACATTTTCTGTCAGGGAAGTTATATTCTTAGATCTTTTCAACTTCAAAAAAGTTTTTTTCCACTGAAACAAATATTAGGAATAATCATAGCACAATCTATTTTTAAAAGTAATCTGTAGCCATTTAACATAAATGAAATTTGTTTTTAATGAAAGTAGAAGAATTGGGAAATAGTATGTTTCCAAAAAGAAAATACAGTTAAAGGCCCAATCCTATGCCTGTTTAAGACAGAAAAAAGTCTACCATTCCCAGCATATTCCAGAAGACTTGCTTGTGCATGCTTGGAATTTTAGGCATTTTTTTCTGTCTAAACATGCATAGGATTGCACCCTTAAATAATTGTTTAATGTAGGCCCCATATTTCACAAAGTAAAGAGGACAGCTTAGGATCTCTTGTTCTCCAAGTTACTAGCACTTCTGAATGGTTGTGGTTGAGGGTTCTGAGTTCAGTGAGTCGCCCTATGAGACGAGCAAAATGTTGTGGTTCTTCAGGATGATAAATTTTGGAATACTTGTACAGAATTCCTAAAAATGGTTCCTGGAGTTTTTCCACATGTTGCTTGTTTTTTAGGAGTGGACGATCTGAAAAACAGGAAAAAAAATCACTTGGTTTTGTGCAGAAATCTGGTTGAGCCTTGCAACTGGCTTCTGAAGCTCTATTTTCTTATTCTTCAGAAAGAGCTATTAGGTTAACAAGTAAGGTGAAAGTCTTTTCCCTAATGTCACTTTGAACTCTGCTTAATTGCAGTACTTAACTAAAGGGCACTATCCAATGGAGCTGCCCATAATGCTATGTACTTGGAGGACAGTGGGACAGCATGCAGGCAGAGATTGCCTTCATGTAATTTTGGATATCTGTTTTACTGCTACTAGTGAAGAAGAGGGTAGAGACGCAAATAAGAGTTCATTTTATATCTATTTTATGTGTTGTTATTATATATTATATATTTGATTGTTTTTAAGTGGTTATTGTAGCCACTGTGAGGATGGATAACCTAAGGGTGAATATTTAAATACCTTTATATTAAAGTAACCCATGTATTGTGTATTACCAGCTTGCCATAAGCTTTGATATGTATAAAACATGTAAACATTCATTTTTAACACAACAATTATTAGAAATACAAACTATCTTTCATGGAAAGAACTGTTTAATCATTGGTAAAATCTTTTCATTTGTTATAGCATATTAACAAAACAATTGTTTTTCTGACACTGTTGATGCTAGAAAAATAAATTAAGAAAATATTTTCCTTGGAAAGTTATTTTTAATAGTGCTAAATTGTGCGTGTTTAATTGTAGTCAGGTCCTACTTTATTCAATGGATCTTATTCCAGATATGCATACATAAGATTGCAGAGAAATAGGGCAATCATAAGGGTCTAGAAAGAAGTGAAGAGATGAATCTACCATCATATCTCAAGCCCTGTTGGCTCATAGCAGGTAGGCGCGGCTTTTCAGTGCAGTAGATAATTGTATTTTAAATTCCAACCACCACAAAAAACAATGGAGTGGGAGAATAGTAGCACCAACTATAAGCTGTGATAGCTGATGGGTCCATCCTGGAACCATTCTGGAAGAAATCCAACACAAATTTGTCACTTCTTGTCCATGGATTTTCCCATTTATTATTCATTTATTATTTATTCCAGTTACCACTGGTGGGAATATTACCAGTGGTCATTTTCTACCTACCATTTCTCAGCAGGTGGAGCAGGTCCTCCACAGTAGTGGAGTCCCTTGTTCTACTAACATAAGTCCTTTCTGCTGGTATAGGAGCAGTCCCTAACACACTCCACCAAGTGATATCAGAGGGTTAGGAAGCTGGACGCCTAAGTAATATAGGTGTCATCATAATTTGCTTAGAATGAAAAAGGTATCCGTAACTATTGCTTAAAGATTTCCTATAAATCTTTATATCCATGAAGAACATTCTATGTTATTAACAACCCAATTTTTATTTTGTAAATAATAATAATAGCAGAGGAGGGATAATCTGGTATTTTATTCTTATTGATGGAACACAATCAGGACTAATAATTAAAGAAACTCATTACTCAAAAAATGATACATGAGCAATTAAATATCTACAAAAGTATCTGATACTTTGATACAAATAATTTTATTTGGAAGTCTTAAGTTGGACTATTTGAAAACTTCTTTACATATGTGCTAAATATACCTGAAAAAAACACAGTAGTTGCAACAAGCAATGCATACTCTGCTTCAGTCACATTGAGTTCTCCCATGCTTCTATAGAAGTAAAATAATGCGGTGATAAATTCCTCAGTGATACCTGCAAAAAGCCAGAATATTATCAAATGGTAGCTTGACTAAATATCATTGATTTATTTCTAAGGATCAGAATCTTTACATAAAATAAAGGTAAGACACAGCCATGACATCAGGCCTAACAAGCTAAGATATCACAAGATCAATCTTGAAAATGCAATGTGAAGAGGTAAGTTTTATTAGACATTTATATACATCAGTGAACAAAGTCACATGAATGTGAAGAGGTAAAAAAATCCAATGGTAATGGAATCAAGGTATGGGAGATGTCATTTTGATGTATGCAGGAAAAGTATAGCTTAAAAAGCAATGAGAATATGAAAGGAGACGGACACAGAAAAGAGCAGATGTGGAGAAAGGGGAAAACGTTTAAAGGGTAATGGAATAAATGCAATATGAGGAAACGGAGGGAACCATCATACAGAACAAAAAGGAGAACTGAAGTGGCCATAGATTTTATGTACTGAAAACTAGGAAGGAAATTTAAGAGAAAAGACAGGATGGCCAAGAAAAAGAGCTGATAAAAAGGAATTCAACTGGAGGAGGAATGGATGAGGTCCAAGGTAAGGTCAGTTGAGCTGAGTTCAGAATTGATTAAATTGTTGGATTATAATAACAGGGGAGAAGAATACTGTTGAATGGAAGAATAGAGATTAAGATTTTAGTTTCAGGAGAGAGAGATTTTAAAAAAAGAAGTTAGACAAAACCTGTAAGAAAGTCCAAAAGGACTATAAAACATTAAAAGGAATAAGATGACATATATAATTAAATTGAAAGGAGAAAAATTAAGATAACAAAAGTAAAAAGTGTTGCAAAGAAAATAAGGGAAGAGAGGAAAAGCAAAGTGCATTCTCAGCCTGTTGTAAGCATACAGAACAGCAGTGGCAGAATGGGACAAGGCAGGCAGTGCAAAGAAGGTGGCATCAAGCACTAGTCCCACCAGCCCATCACTGCCAAAATCACAATCGCACATCTAACATCCCTTTACAAAGGAATAGCAAAACATACATCTACAGCAGAAGTATACAATTTGAGTCAAGTTCAAATGCTGTCATTTTCCCAGTTCAGAGAAAAAGCACGAGTAGCAGCTAAAAAGTGTGCACAGACAGTAGAAGAAGACAATATAATGAAAAGGCTCCACGAATTTCCATGAGCGAAGGATCAAGTGAGCACAACAAATGCCTTGTATAGAGAAACTCAGAGTAAAGTGAAAAAAAGCAAGAAAATATATAAGCAATAGGAAAAGATGGTTTGCCTTGACAGCATTCTGAGAGAAGGGTCAAAGCTGGTGCATGTCAAAGGGCAAGCAAAGGAAATGCACCTTACTGACTGAAAAATAATGTAACAAGTCGATCAAATGAAAGAAGTAGATCATGGAACATACCATAAACTGAGTCAGTTAGCCGTGTAAGAAAGGAAAGTATAAAATAAGAAAAGCAGGCAACAGAAAGAAAACAAGAAACATGGATGGGAAAGGGATGATTTTAGAGCAATGATTCCAAAGTAGGTTGTGGTGGAAAGATCCAGGGGGGTGATGATTGGTTGTTTTAAATCATGGATCCTCAAACTATGGCCTGCGGGCCAGATTCGACCCACCATGCCCATTTATCCAGCCTGCCATAGAGGTTTTGGACTCGCCTTGTGTGCGCATGGCAAGGCAGGGGCTTGCTCATGCACAGATCGTTTTGGACTCAGGGGATCCAAAAGGATCTCCTTGCAAGCAAGCCTCCACCTTGCGGTGCGTGCGCCCAGCGTACCCCAGGCCTGTGCGCCCCGGCCCATGCACCCCTTGGCAGCCCGCGCTCATCGTCGGCACCTTTCAACTGGCCCCCTGTTTAAAAAGTTTGAATTTTAAATTTACAGTGGAGCAATAGACCTAATACAAAGAATGAAGCATGGGGGCACTAGGATTGTCACTCAAGGGGAAAAAAGGCCAGCAACCCAAAAATGAGGACCACTGCTCTATGATATCTGAAAATGCCAGAAAAATTAATGCTGGCACTTATCAGCAAGATTCTCAGTGCATGAGGTGATTTGGTTAAAATATTAATGAAATCACAAATTCAGTTATCCAAGCCCTTTTAACAGATGCTATTAAAATTCCAACAGTATATCAGCATAAGCAGTGATTTAGCAATTTTTAAAATACCTAATTACCTGTTGTACTAGTAGATGTTGGACTTTCTTCACTATGAGACATCTCCATGGAGTAAGTACTTTTACCTTGACCATGAATAGCATGGTCAGAAAATTCTACATGACCTAGAGGGAAGGAAATAGAAGTCCGTAATTTAGCAGAATCTCCTTGTAAAAGTGGATTATTTGTTTGTTTGTTTATTATAATAAATGACAATATATGTATTGCCATTTTAAGAAATTTTATCAATTATAAGGTTATAAGAGAGAAGTAGGATAAATAATATACATAGATGTGTGTGTATATGTGTATATATATATATAGAGAGAGAGAGAGAGAGACAGAGATTTTGAGAAATTCTATCACTTGGTAAGGTGAGAAGCAGGATTTATCCTAAGGAAAGACATGGTTGCAGAAGGTCTATGTAATTACATGCATACAGTGGAATAATTAGATGACAAACAATTGTTGTTACTATATTTATACTTTGCCTATTTCCAGTGTTTGGGATAATTTTCAAAACTTATAACAATAGAACTTACTGTCATGGAATGATGACTGGCACTCATTCCCTTGTTCATTATATATCTGGGCTGAGCGTAAAAACATTGCTTCAATAGTGGAGCCTTTCAGCAAAGCAATCTGATCATCATTGGCTAAACTTTCAAATCCTATAGAGAAATAAGTAAGCAATATAAATTATGCCAATTTCTGATGATGAACATAAATTTGAAATTTGACTTAGTTTATCTGTGCAATAAGTTTAACTTCACATAAAGTAAATCTTGTTTTGAGAATCAGCAGCAGAAAACCAGATACACACTGCTGCCGTAGCAAATACAATAGGCAAATACACCCCAGATATGGCAGTGTAATGGCTGAAATCAGGTAGAGCTGGTGGGAGGATGTGTGCCACAGGAAAGGAACATTTTTATCCTGTATCTAGTGCCACAGCCTTCTTCAATCTGGTACCTTCAAAATGTGTCCACCCAGATTGGTGCTTTCCAATGACTATGTTGGATTGGGGTAATAGAAGTTGCAGTCCAGCAGAATTGGATTACAGGTAATTTAGGATCTCATGTCTAATTCTGCCATAGGTTATTCTGAGCATTTTTTCTTGCTGCACATCTTCATTATAGACTTACACATAATGCATACTCTTCAAAAAGACTTGCTCCATATGACTACCTATTTGAAGTCCCACCCCCCATTATTTTTAAATAGGGGGTTGTGCTCCAATTCCTGCTTGAAACACAGAATGTGCTCCTGAAAATGCACACCAACATTCAGGCTTCAGGGAAGGTCCTCACTGCACTGGTTTGGAGCGAGGCATCTTAAACACAATACTTTATTAGGTGCCTTAATAGCTGTTTAAATACGGCTCAGTCTGGATTCAATCATTTGTGTTTTTCATACTAGCTTCATGAAAATATATGCAGGGTTTGAGCCACAGTTTTATTTGAAATGAAGCTCATTGTCCTGGGCATGCACACCAACATTTATTCTAATATTTTGGAGTTCAGCAGAGCTATTATACGGTGCTATATTTTGTATTTGCTTCCTGTTTTTTAAAACAGGCATGCAGACTATTGTATTTAGATTTGAAGTGTAGAGTTATGCTCAAAACATGTGTGCCAAATTAAATTCTGAAATCATTTGTCAATTAAATTATCACATTACTAATCCCCCTCCCAAAAAAACCCCTAAGTGCAATGCCAAATGAGCTAGTTAAACGAAAGGCACAGCCAAAAGTAGCTGTCATTGACCAGGTTAACACTTGATAGCATCTCATGGGTTATTTAACCTTGACATGGGAGCCATACAGTGAATTATATTTCCATATTGTAAACTAAAGTGTACACAATATATTTAATTTAATATACATGATTAATATATTTAATTAACCATTAAATGAGGGGGGAAACTGATGAAAAGAACACTTTGTGCACCTGTAATCTCTGCAACTCCTTCTCTGACTGCTACCCAAGCACAATGACCACTCCTCTTGGGTTGTCCATCCCCTTCCCTGTTTTTCCTGCCCAAAAACCCTCCCATGTGACCCCTCTGGCCCTTCTTTCCTTCTTGGAAGAAAGCAGGACAGGACAGTGGCCTCACGAGATTCATTGTAACCATGTCCATGCCAACACTGGGATTTAGACAGGGGGCCTCAAGAATTCTGCACAGCAAGGCCTTGGGAGCTTCATGAGGCTCGTGACTGTTGTGTTGGATCATCCTGATCTAGCAGGAAGGAGTGAGGACTGCCTCCTTTACATCATGAGTTAATTCTTACATGTTTACCCACTAAACAACCCTACGTTTCTAGGTACAAATGTCACAATTCCAACCAGGAATTGTATATTCTTGGATTCTTAACTGAAAGCAGAAGTGACAAGGACACAGAAGGCAGCATCCTTACTTGTTGCCAGTCTGCCCAGATAACCCATGGTTTAACCAAGCTCTAGATCACTGAAACATGCAAACTGGGTCATTCTCTCCCCACTGGGTACTCTGGTTCGTAGATGAAGGCTATCAGAGAATTCCTAGCATTTTCAAACTTTAATTACTGAGATATTTGCATGAGACCATGCAAGTGAAACTGTATAAAGCAATGGAAAAGATATATACCTGAAGGAACTGCTGTACAGTTAGACTAAGGCACCTACTGTATACAATATATAGGGCTAAAATGGTAAAATTATTTTACAAAACTCCCTATGAACAATCTTACCTGGGAGTCTTTTTGTAAAATCCACTAGTACCTCCACATGAACCATGGCTGTTTCTGAAAGCCGTAAAAAATTCTCTTCAGGATTAGCAGTTTCCTGTAACTAATTAAAAATATTTAGGGTTATGAAGATATACTATCAAAAAGTCAGAATGTTATATTTATTGAAATGGACTGTTTTTCATGAATACATACAAACTTCTTTGCTTCTTCTAGGGGGATTGTGCATTTTTGATGGGCAGCCAAAATATGGTCAATAAGCTCATGTTCTCCAGGAGTAAGTTCCATTCTCTCCTGGACCTTTAAAATTAAAAGAAAGATGTACATGAATTTAAAGCAACTAAATATTAAATGCATCAAATAAAATATGAATTATTGTCCTACTTTTAAAATTTTGGTTGTAGAGGACACATGCTTGTTGTCCACTCCCTCATCTTCCATTTTGATGTTATTAAGGTAGCTACTCTTTTTTCTGAGTCTCTTTGATTTACACTGGACTTCTGTTAGTAAACCTGTAAGAAATGTATATTAAAGCAAAATATTTAGGCAAGTTTCGGTACGGTATCATCATTCAAGAATGTCCTTTTACAAACTGTAAATTTGATCAGAGGTCATACTATTGTCCCACCTATATCAGTATTGCTTACACCATCAAGTACAGGGCAGCAAAACGGACATTGTTACTTGCTTTGGACTTCAAGTCCCAGAAGACCCAGTCATCACGGCCAATGGCCAGAATTCTATATTGTTTGCTCATACTTGGTCTAGCAGGAGTTGTCTGAACTTCAGACAGGTCACTAACCTCTCCCTGGAGAAGTCTGGGATTTATTTGAGATGTTTTGCATGTACATATGGCCCTTGCCTGGGAAACACCTCCACTTCCACTTCCTAATATGATAGAAAAATCACATATTTTGTACTATTGGTATGATTGTGTAATGATATATTCAAGAACCTAATTTAATTCTGAGATCCTTATTTAATTTAATCCTAATAGTCTGAGTCATTTTAATTCATTGCTGCTCTCTGGCAGCAATATGAAATCATTTGCATAGCTTAAAGTACTGATATGTCTTTCACTAATTTGCACTCCTTCTTGTGATCCTAATCCATCTTTCCTTATATATTCTGTATACAGATTGAACAGATAGGGAGATACAGTACACCCTTGTATGATGCCTTTGCCTATGGAAAACCATTCTGACTCCATATACTGTCCTAAAAGTAGCTTCTTGTATACAATCCAGGTTATCCTCATTTTTAAATTATCATTATGTAACATTCAGCCTGATCCTAAACAGTTCCCACCACTGACGTTAACCCTAGTAGATCCCCTTTAATTTTTTCCCTCAGGAAAGAGAATCAGCTCTAGCACTAGATCTAAGAAATACTGTTTAAATTTTCCGCAGAGTTTTGGCTATAGGTCATTATAGAAAATGTAGCTAATGACTTCCAGCACCTTAGCACCAATCTGAGAGCTGCCACTGCAGCTAACAGAGGAACCCATCTAAGGGGGGTGGGGGTTCCTGTTGAAGGAGACACTCTTAAGAAGCAGAAAGTATTTTGCAGAGGGTAGCTGCTCTGCAGGCACTGACCAGAGCTTGCATAGTTTTGATAGAGTTATTACATCATATCATAAGATCAAGTTTTACAGTGCAATACTCTGCATGTCTTCTCAGATATAAGTCTGATTTCATTCAATGGGTAGATGTCTGGAGGACTGAAGTCTAACTCATTTGGCAGAAACTCTTTTCTACCTACACATACCTAGCAGATGTGGAAATAAATTCCATCTCTACTTGGCTAAAGCTGACTTTAGCAACCTAGTACTCTGCAGATGTTGTGCTCTACAACTGTCACACAACACAATCAGTGGTCAGTTATGGGAATTGCCATCCAAAGCATCTGAAAGGCACCTGACTGGTGAAGACTGTAATAAGGTCTAGTACAGTGATGAGTTGTGACTCTTCAGATGTTTTGGCCTACAGTTCATAATTGCTTTCCCATAATTGCTCACAATTGGTTACACTGGCAAGGGTGACAGATGTTGTAGGCCAAAAATCTGAAGGGCCATAAGTTTCCCACCCCAACCTAATATTTCTGTTCCTGGGCTATAACGTTAGTTTTTGTGTCTGTTGGTGGTTTTAGGATTGTGTGTGCATTTTAATCATGCTGTGTCAGTTCATATCTTTTGGATTTTTATTTTGTGCTTGGTTTTAGTGTTATATGGTGGTCTCATTTTTTATTATGTTAAATTATATTGCTTAAAATTTTACTCTCTGAAGCCCAGAAGCAAATGTCTCAGTTAAATGTCTTTTAGTAATACCATTTAGGGTACAAACCTGTGTATGATTGGGTAGCAACAAAAATTCCCCAAACCCCCAGCATACTAAATCTAGTAAGGCTACCTGGAAATGCTGGGAGTTGTAGAACTTTGTTTCCCTAAACATAAAAGAAAAAGCATCCTTATATATATCCTTAGCTGTCTTGACAGAAAAGAAAATTTGGTTAGCTAAGTAACATGACAGAAAATGGACTATTATAGTATAGGCACTCACATTCCGCCAGCATTCCCACAGCTTTACACTTCTTTAGGCGACACTCCTGACATTTTCTCCTCATATACATATCCATTTCACAGTGACCACCATTCTTGCATCTGTAAATTGCATTTTTGGTGATGCTGCGTCGAAAAAATCCTAGCAATAATAATTTGGAATGATGAGGGGGAAAATAAACTTTTATCAGCAATGCTCTCTACTTTAATTGCCAGTAGGTATTTACACAAATATGATACATTTTTGCAATAAATAATATGACAACAACTAAGAAAATGAAGTTTCTGTACAAAAATTTAGGCCCCAATCCTATACCTACTTACCTGAATCTCCATAGACTCGTAGAATAGTAGAGTTGGAAGGGGCTATGAAGTCCATCAGGTCCAAACCCCTGCTGAGGTAGGACACCATTTACTCAGATGGCTGTCCAGTTTCTTTTTGAATGTCTCTAGCGTGGAAGAGTCCACCACCTCTCTAGACAGCTAGTTCCACTGTTGTATTGCTCTGACAGTGAGAAAGTTCTTCCTGCTATCTAACCTGAATCTGAGTTGTCGCAGCTTGCATAGTGGATTGTACCATTAATATCATAACAGGAATAAATTTATTATTTTAATATTATTAATTTCTTAGTACTACTAATAGATGCATATTCTCTCCCATTTCTCATTCAGGGCAGCATATTTAATTAGCATCCCCGCTCTACTTTATCCTCAAAATAACACTTTGACATAGGTAACTAGTCCAAGGTATCCCACTGGGTTTCATGGCTAAGTGGTGATTATATTAAGAAGGCCTGTCTCCAAAATATTTTGGCACCAAAGTATACTTGTTAATAGAATTATGATTCTTAATAAACCACAAACATAGCAGTATAACATACAAGGAAAACAACTCTTATTAATAAACCATATGTAGCACTCTGAGGATTATATCCAAGACAATTTTGAAAAATAAAATTATTTCTCTCACACACCCACACTCACACACACACAAAATTATACACTGATTTCCCTTTTCTAGCCTGCCCCAACCTAGTGCCCTCCTAATTTACTGGACTGCTGCCTGGGAATTATGGGAATTGCAGTCTAGCCCATGCAGTGAGTACCAGGATAGAATGTGATGTTTTATCAGAATCTTCCATAACTGCTCAGAGGTAAAGGCTATTAGCTTAGCAGCATATAGTCACCATTAGAACAAGCAGTAACTATTATTAGCATTTTGATATAATCTAAAACAAACTTTCCCAGTCTGCTGCCCTTCAGATATTACAGACTACAATTCCCAGCATTCCTGACTGTTGTTCATGGTGGCTGGGACTGATGGGAGTTGAAATCCAAAGCATCCAGAGGACAGCAGGTGGAGTATGACTGATCTAAAGTAGGGGTGGGCAGATAGTAGAACTCCAGATGTTTTTTACTTCAACTGACCATTGCCATGCTGACGGGCTTCTGAGAGTTGAAGTCCAAAACATCTGGAGAGCTAACATCCACCCACCTTTGATCTAGATCAAAGTGGGGAATAACAAACAGAACCTTAGGCACCAGTTCCTTGTCCCCCTCATGAAAACTCTCATTGCATCTCCTTCCTAGATATTTCTTCTCATAGCCCAAAACAGCATTTCTCTGTAGTCTGTCACTGGAGCTCCACCACTTGCAACAAGCTGAAGGTCTCTAGCAACCTCAAAAGGAACCATTCTTTTCTGACCTCTAGGGGGCACACTTACATTGGACATCTAGCCAGACCAAGAGATGGAGAAGGGACCATATCTTTGAGTACAGGGGATGTGCAGGGGTCCTCTCTCACAATGCCTGTTTAACTTCCTTGTTTCAGGACAACCAATATTTAGACAATCAGCATTTCCAAGCCTTTCATACTGATGCATTAGATCCTAGTCACAAAAACCTTCCCCCTTACCTTTGCAGCCTTCACAGGTGAGTGCATTGTAGTGATATCCAGAAGCCTTGTCCCCACAAACCACACAGAGTTCCTCCTGTCCCTTTATCCGTAAGGCGGAATGACTAAGCCTGGGTCGTTTCTGTCCAGGATATCCTCCCCCATCTTCATGGACACCCATGCAGGTGGGCTTACTGAGTTCACAATTGCTGATGATATATTGCCCATCATTATACTGAGAGTCCAAATTGTATGCATTGTAATGAGACTGGGGAGATGGTGTCTGTAATACGGGAGGAAACTGAACTGCTGAATACTGGCAATAAGGAGCAGGCTGGAAGTCGAGGTCTTGCAGTGGGTAACTGATGTGTTCTGGCAAGACATCTAGATTATTTAGAAAAATTACATACAAGCAGTAAATTAATTTTGAATTTGACATCACTGAATTTTAGATTATTTGTAATATTTGCTCTCTCAATGTCAGATTTTCAAACCCTCTTTTCCCCTAAAACTGTTCCTATAGCAGATTAAATAAAAATCAGTAAGGCTTACCATCTGAAAGACAAAACATAAAAAGGAAAAAGAGTAGGAAGAAAGAGGAAAACTAGGTCAGGCATTGATTCATGAAGTTACATAGCATGTCTTACAATGCCCAACTGGAATAGAAATGTATGTTAGAATTGTTTTTAGAAGAGCAGCCTACATATGCTTTTAGAAATGTCTTCTGACAATATTATCCATGATAGTGGAGTTTGATTTTTAAAAATGCAGTGTTAAAGCTAATTGAGTTTTACAGTGCAATCCTGAGCATATTCATTCTGAAATACTTCCCTCCAAGTTCAGTGAGACTTACACTCTATTACAATTGCAATCTTATGCTGCAATCACATGCATATTTATTTTGAAGTAAGCTTCACTGAATCCAGTAGCACTGGTTTCTGAATGAAATAAATTACATGCTGAATATTTTCAAAAGCAACTTGAGAAGTTCTGCAAGGTATTGTAACCATACGGTGCTCTGGTATGTTTAGGTACTTGAGCAGACTTATGAAATAGCATGCTTAAAACTGGGGAAATAAGGAGACAAGACATATGCAGTATGAGTGTGTGTGTGGGGGGGGAGGGTTAATCATTTTGATATTTATTTCACCTTAAATAAGTGACTAACATAATATCCTTAGGCACTCTGTTGAGGCTAGAAAAAGTGCAATTGCATGTTCCAGTTCCCTCTTCTGTTTTAGACTCCACATATTCCATGGGAGCAAACATTACCTTATGAAGTATAAAAATAACCACAAGTAGTATGGCTTGAGTATATTTGCTGAATTTACTGCCAAAATAATTGTGAATCCAAGCAAGAGGAAGCCTTTGAACTTTGGTGTGAATCTTATACATAGGTGTCAATTGGGAAAAGTAACACACCCATACAAACACATAAACAGCCTGCCTGGAACTTTATATGACTGATCATCCTTCTTGTATAGTCCAGAACCTTCAGTCAACAGCTATACACATTTCTGTTTTACATGAACACCCACATTTCTGCAAAATGTTTCCCTTTGCTGAACTCACCATAATACTGGATTGGCTCACTAAGGCAGTATCCCTCAGGCACTGTCACAAAGGAATTTGCCATGCTTTGTTCCAGTTCCCAGTGCTTCATTCAGCTTGGGCTGTTCTGTGCTTTCAAAAAGCAAACCTGGAGAAAGGGAATGCTGCTAATTATGTTTAACTTCCAAGAGTTAAAACTTGTCAATACCAGAAGATTTCCAGAAGTAACTTAAGGGATGAAATAGGAAAAATGTTGCAACGATCAACTGTAGTTTGCAACATAACTCTCTCTAAATGAAAATGAGTTTCACTGTAATGTTACAAGATACTTGTACTAGCAGTGGTACAGCTAGGTAATTTTACACTCTGGTCTCAAGGATGAGACTCTTTAGATAGCCATGTATGTTACTTACTTTTTGAAGCACATAAATACTTTCCCCTCCAATCAAGCTTTAAAACTGCTTCTACATTTGTAATATGGTAGAACAACACCGGGGCGGGGGAGATGAACATATTTTTATTTAAAACTGATTTTTAAATTTAAATCAGATTTTGATTTAAATTGGATTTTTAAAAAATAAAATGCTTTTTGAGAAAAAATCTATCTAAAGATAGTTTCTTATTTAAGATACATTATGGTCCAAAGGTTATTCATCATGAAATAAGGATTCGTTTTTAATGATGGTGCATGAAGCTACATATTCATGCAATGTTTATTTTTTTAGTAAATGAATTCCATTAATCTAATCACAATGTCTGCTCTTCCAGAGGTTTCTGTAGGATCATTGGGTGGTTTTTCTACCAAAAGTTATTATCACAGATGCTTGGTTTTACAGCTCTCAAAACTGTGAATTTGTGTCTGCAGAGATCATATGCTTCTTTTTCACCTCAAAAATGTTATAAGATAAACACACAGAGTTGAGAAAAAGATCTTAATCTCATTGTTATTTTGCAAATCTATATACATGGAATCAACCCCTTACCCCTTAAGCACTATGTTTCAGAAAATTCAATGGAGATGGGAGTGGAACAGATTTGCACAGGAAGCTGAGTGTGAGGAGGGAGAGGCAAGCAGTAAAACTGAAAGTGAAACCTTTTGAGCAGATCCCAGCAATCTCCACCAATGCCTTGTCTGCTAAGTGAGTGGCTGACTCATTAGAGGGTTAAAATAGCACAGGCTGTAACACTGTATCAACTATATCATAAAAAGAGAACAGGTAAAAGGTTGGGATTTGTCCATGTGTTTTTACTCTGAGACTAGTCATCAAAGTTGAAAACAAATGCTTAGCTTAAATTAAGCAACATGAATAGTTGGGATTCAAAAAGATGGGATAGTCTTCTGTAGACATGCTTATCCTGGTAAGGAAGCAGAGAATTCTACAGGTCATCCTACTTGTTAAACTGCCTTGGATGATTTGTTTATGTGCTTTACACATTTGAGAACATAGGTTAAATGGAGTGCTTAATTTGATGGCTTGTTTTTTACCCATGGAAACTGTCTTATAGTCATCAGTATTCAGAAGACTATGAATCTGAAGCAAAATCACAAAGTACTTACCTTCTGTGGTATAACAAAATGGCCTGAAGAAAGTAAACTCAATCCTACTCTTACAATCAATAAATCTCAAGAGAACAAAGCCTTGGGATCATCTAAAGTAGAAAGCTGGCTTTAATGTAACTTTTTTATCATGGAACAATGCCACTGATGTGAAAATAAATGTGATTTTTGTTGGTTTAGTTTTCCTAAACCAACATTTTGCAGGGGAAAAATCCAAACACAAGACTGTCTACCCATCCTTTCTATACTATGAGGGCTTTGAATGCTAATGATAAAAATCCTTCACATACATACTTAAGTTGCAAAAACTGACCATCATAGGCTATAATTCACTATATACCGTCTTTTGAATAGGATTTTCTGTGGCTTAGCAAATGATTAACAAAACTTCTAAATCCAGGTGGCTGAGGTAGTGTGCAGTCACAGGGAATAGAAAGCTTTGCAATCCAGCTTCTGTGAGAGGACAGTAAGTTGTCTCTTAGGTTTGAACTAAAACCTTTGTGATGAACAGGCTACATAGTTGCAAAGAAAATCAGCATTATAGGAAAGTCAAGGGATAGGAGGTCCAGAAGCACCAAGATGTAGGGAGTGGAATGAGGAGGAGGAACCACAAGGAAAAGGTCAGATGAAAGAGATAAGTGAATTAAGAAGGGGGTGATTACAGAATCAATGCTCATACAGGATAATACACACTATGTTTCAGAGTGGCTTGTTGTAAGGTCTGAACCTGGCATGGTTGGCTCACTGTGGTTTGTCAACCAAGCACAAGCCACACTGAGAATCCATGGCTTGTCATTGTGTTCCCAGGATAGGTTGTTACAATACTCCAACTTGACAGAGTGGCTTGTGTATGTTTTGTTAGAAGGGGCTGCACAAAACTACCTGTCAAGAATGCTTGAAACCTGACCACTCAGTGTCCTTCATCCCTCCTCCTCCAGTTCAGCGCTTCATATGATCACCACGGGATCTATCCTCTTGTGAGCTGAATTAGCTACAGCTATGCTTAATTGAATTGCCTCTAGGTAAGTTCAAATTTAGGACCATGCCAGTTTGGAAGGGTTGCTTAAGCTTTCCACTAACTTGTTTCCATGCTAAAATCCCCTCTTGCTTTAAAAATAGGGGAAATAATCTTGCTGTTTTTTAACCATTCCTCATGAACTGTGGCATGAAAGCAAGAGGACAAAGCTTAAATTCTCCCTTTCAAATCATGATGGTCATGAACAGGTATGCTTACCTTAAGGTAAGCCAGTCACTCATACTGGCATAACTGCACTAGGAAAAGGATTTTTTTTTAATGTTGAAATAAAATGAACACCTCATCCACCTTGTGCTAAAAATCAAGATAAGCTTCTTCACCTTCCCTCCAAACATACGGCATATATATGTTAGTGCAGGTGCTTAACAAGTTGTGAGATGAGAATCTCATCACAACAGGATTAAGAGGGATTGTGCTACAAAGGCCCCTGAGATATGTGCTGAAAGCAGGAAAGAAGATGAAAGGAAAACAAACCAAGGCCAACTGACAAGCACCTGATCACCTGGGGGCAGCAGTGTGACTTAGTAAATGATTAATCAACCCACCATAGCTTATTTCAGTGCAAGCCAACTCCAGAACTTGATAGAATTTAAATCAGGCAGGTCTGTATGTTATGGAAGGTAATGGGAGGAAGAAAGGAGTGTTAGGCAGATATGTGGTTACTAATATTGTTATCTAGACCAACTTTTTCCAACTGATTATCATCAGTTATGTTGGACGGTAGCTCCATCATCTCCAGAGAGCATGGTCATTAGCTGCCTTGGGGTATTGTTACATATTATATTAACTATTGTTAATAAAAATATTTATGTACCATCCTTTTTAACAAATCACAGGGCGGTATGCAAAATGCATTAAACATCAATTAAAATAAAATACAAAGATAAAAACAACAGCAAAAGCAATCTTCCAAGGTAACTGTTAAAATCAGTAGATAAGGTATGTAGATAAATTTTCAACTGGTTCCTGTCAAAGATGGCAACACTGTCAAAGATGGCATTTCAGGGGTGGGAATAGAATTGCAAAGGTGGAACATCACTATATGAGCCCTTTTCTGTTCACCATCAGATGCACCTATGTAGGTGATGGGACAACAGGTGTGGTGGGTCTGAGCTGTAGATCTCAGTGAACAGGAATGAACTGGGATTAGCTATTAAGTAGGATTTATTTTACTATTTGAGGGTTGTGGGAATTCTACTCAGAGACATGTGTATGACACCAGGTTGGAGAAAACATGCCACAATGTTACCTAGTCTTTAAGGTGCAATTAACTATGTTGCCATCAAGTCCTGACATTCTTTGGCTGCAGGCTTTAACAGAGACCCTAAAGAACTGGAGTGTATGAATGCCTTGAACACCATAACACTTTTTATTAAAGGAATCAGAAAACTGACTTGAGGTATATACCATGTTTGTTTACAGATTCCTAAAAAGATGCTTCATTCAGTCATTCACCTCATCTCATTCCCTCTCATAGCACAAAGCCGCAAAAGATGAAAAGGTATGTCATGACTGGAATGCTGCCACTCACTATCTTTGTAAATATTTGCTTGAAAGAGATCTTTGATGACTCATGAGAGCTTTATCAGTGAGAACAGTTTGGCATGTACAAGGTCTACATATTTTAATCTCCAAATGTGCTTTTAAAAAAAATTAAATTCTGTGATTCTGCATTCCACAATATTAATTTATACAGTTTGAAAGGTAACACTATTCATTCTTTAATCAATCTGTGAGCTAACTGAAAAAGATGCCAGTGGAAAAATTCAGTGCCTCACTCATTCCCTTCCTCATCTGCTCAGAATTCCCATGTTGCCTTCTCCAAGCTAGAGTGTACTTTTCATATGCTAGGCATAGGGCTAGATCATGCCATCTGATAACTCAGTATAAATTATATTGGATAAAATATAATTTGGACAGTAGTTCTTTAGGATTAAATCCAACATATGCATAAATTGATTTTGTTGAAAGTTATAAATAATTGCATTTTCTGAATCTTGACATACAATCAGCATGGAACATTTCTATGGGTGAAAACTTGTATAAAAAAAAAACAATGTTTCAACCTGTGATTACTGAATTCATTGCTTTTTCCCCCCAGTCCAAATTATATAAACAATGGCTGCATTTGGACATAATAGGAAAACATAGTTAAGCATCATTATGTGAATCAGTATTGAATGTAGATTATATACACAGTATGGAATAGATCCAATGAGCAGCAGAAATATTTCAGTGTTTGTTATCTTATCCTCACATCAGTAAACCCAAAACCACCAGCATTATTCCATATTGTCAAAGGCTGTTCATTCATTAGCCACTACAACAATTGACTCCGCAATGTCGTACACTACTGTTTCAATCAGGTATGGTAGCAAATTGAGTGTAATTATTTCAAAAGGAAGGAAGGAAGGAACGATGGAAGGGAAGCTTGCACTGGAGTGGCATTCTAGAAGACAAGGGTAGGAGAAGCAAGGTACTGCTCTCCAATGAAGAAACTGGGTGGTGTCTCCAGATCCACAACTTGTGAACCAACATAAAGAGCTTAGACTGCTATTTTGGATGGCAGGCTGAGCGCAGAGACCATTCTTACCTCAAACTGCACTCTTTCTGCCCTTCTGTTAGATGCCTGTACACCTTCAAGTTTGGAAGATGTATTTACAGGGCTATTATTGTTTTGTTTAAAATGGTTGTGTTTTTGATAAGATGGCATTTTATTGTACTTTATTGTTTTTCATAAACTCTTGTAAACCACCCAGAGAGCTTTCCCTCTTGTATGGAATAGAAATGCTGTTGCTGGCAATGATAATGATAATACATAGCCACATTGATTGGCACCTTTTATCCTTTACACATATGTCTGCTAGAGTTAAGATGCATCCATCTTCTGCACAGAAATTTAACTTCTATTTAGATCAGCTTGCCACAACCCAGTGCCCTGCAGATGGATTGGACTGCAGACCTAGAGGCTCTGGTGATGGAGTAGAAATTTTAGAAACAACTCTAGAGCAAATGTGTGCACTGTATGGCAAAGAAAAGAACAAAAGAGAAGGAAACCATTTACCCCTGGAGAACCCAGTACAGCATAGTTGAACCATTGGACCAGGGCTGGGAGATCAGGGTTTTAGTCCAATTTGGCCATGAAACTCACTGGATGATTTGGCCCAGTCACTCACTCACTCTCAGTCTAGCCTACAGGGTAGTTGTGAGGATAAAAATGGAGTGGAAAACTATGTAAGCCACCTTGAGTTCATCACAAGAGGAAAAAAGTGGAATATATAAATGCAATGTAAAACACAAAAAACTGGGGACAAACAGCAGGAGATTAAGACAACTGAAAGATATGTTACTATGATGTTGGGAAAACTTTATGTGTCCATACGATTGCTGTCTGAAGGTCTGCAAAACTTTAGGAGGAACATTCACAATGGATTCTTCCAAGCTACGCTGTCCCTCCTTATTTCATCCTCTTTCCTTTTGCTTATTGCTGCTTCAAGCTTTACAGCAAAAGCAGTAAAGAGTGAACAGATTTAGTCTTGGTACCAGTTAGGACCAAGAAAATATTTCAGGAACTTGTTCCCTATTGTTGATTTTGTCTTTGAGGTTCCTGGTGAAAGCTTTCCAAAATTAATGCCCATAATACCATGTCCATCCTGAAGCCTCTCCATTCCATTTTGTTGCTGTTTCTGAAACCTTGCTCAGTCAGATGTTACTGCTTGATAGCCTTTCCAGCAAAAGTTGCAGTGATTTAACCCTGCGACCTCTCCTTCGCTTCCTTACCCTTGCTGGTCAAAAAGCCACTTCAGTTAGCTAAATCATGTAGACAAAATTAAGAGAACTTATCTTACCAACTACTTTAGCAGAAATTCGTTATAAAATGACACTGCAATCCTAATTGCAATCTTTCTTGTCAATGACAGTTCACTGTAATATTCCACATAAACCTTGAAATAAAATCTAAGAGGTAATGTCCAATCACATATGCCTGTTTGTCTCTCCCACTCTCTCTGTATCCCTCTCTCCCCATCCCCCTCCGTGTGTGTTTATGTGTGTGTGTGTTTATGTGTGTGTGAAAGAGCACGAGCTCAAGACTCACAATGAAATGCTGTTAGATAATGTGACTTGGATTTTTTAAAAAAAGTTTGGATTTTTAAAAAAATGTTTAGATTTTGAAAAAAAAAATGGGCGTTTAACTCCCAAATGCTAATGTCAGGATATTTTCACTAGCCAGAGCAGAAGATAGAGTAGAGTCTTCCATTTACTGTATATCAGCTATACTGGTTTTCTGTGATCCCTCATCTAATTACCTTTTCTTACCTAAATTCCAAGGGACATACATAATAGAATAATTCCACGAAGTGTCAATGTGTAAATTTTTCTCTATAATTTCTGGAGGAGTGTATTAAATTGTTTTTTTTTTAATCTTTTGACCAAACTGGATTTCTTATTGCAATCTTATGAACATCTAGCTTGGAACAGTCCCCACTGTACACAGTGGGCTGGGTCCACAAATCCTTTGAGTGGAAGTCTGCTCAAGAAACACTCTCACTGAAGACAGGGAAAATGTGATTTTAATCAGCTTCTTCTCTCCACTTCATCCCCTTGTGCCCTTCCCACAAAATCTGCACCAGAAACTATAGGGACTCTTGCATGATTGTGGACTAAAGGGAAGAAGGAATGGGTATGTGGGGCTACAAATGGTTAGAGATGAAATTATTTCTATCCTTTCTATCAGCAGGAACTCCTGCTGAATCAGACTGCTGTCAACAAAATAGGAACTCGAGACCCCAGCCACTGAAACTTGTGTCCAAACATATGTTGTCAAAGTATTGACCTAGATGATGAGACATAGCACTACCAGGGCGCATGGGACTATTCAGAGTATGAAAGGACAGACCTCTGCCCCAAGGAGCTTAGAATCTAAAATTTGACAGTGGAAGTAAAAGAGGAATAAAACCATACTTATCATGCCAACAATGTAAAATGAATAATGCATTTATTCTGTGGAAAAATTAACATGAATGTATGTTCAAAGGTAAAATCTGAACAAATGATCCAAAAATTGCAGTACCGTCTCGCAGCAGAAGTTATTTGTTGGTTTTAGCAATGATACTGCTCAGCTGTTCACATGTTATTAATGGCAAAACATTGTGATGCTTGTCCTAACTATTACACAATTTAGAGCATAGGTCTTGTAGGAGACCCTCCAGGGAGTATTTTAGAATTTTTGACCTGACAGTACATTAACATATATCGTAAATGTTTTGACAGTAGTGTCAAAGGGAAATTTCTTGAGCAGGGAGAATTTTAGGAATCCAAGCTGAAAGTTTTGTCGCATTTTTCTTGTGCACTCATATCCTGGGAAAGAAAGTGAGGTTGCAAAGCCACCAGATTTTAATCTTGATTTGGACTCTGTCCTAACCCTATCATCATGTCCAGATACACACAAATTGTTGAAATTCCATGTGTCTAAATCAAGGGTGGGTGAAAATTAAGTAATAAATCGATTTGTACGTAATAGGCTGCTACTAATAGAAGAGGAATCCACTTATAATTCAAATGTGAATTTATGCAGAAATCTTTATCTCTAAAACACTGAGCCATATATCAAAGTAAACCTATATATTATCTAAAAGAAAGCAAATGTTGCTTTTTTCCTAATCACAATAGCAGTATTAAGCTGGGCTTCTTCTCTCTCTTTTTGACTTGTAATATTCTTTGAATTTGTCATTCTTGTTTAATGCTGTTACTCTGTTTTGTTTTGCACTAGTATAAGTGCTAGTTTGGCTTAAAATGCATCTTTAAATGATGCTGAAATTATGTAAATAAATTCCAGCTGCCATCATAAAGATACCTACTTGGAAATGAATCCCTTTGAAGCTCATGCCCACTTCAGATAATAAGAACTATTTACAAGATAGACAGATAGATAGATCCTGTGTGTTGATCATCACATGTGACAGTCTTCCTACATCTTTTGTGTTGTGGCTAAATATACATCAAAATATACTATGGGTTTCATGCTGATGCACCTTATTTCCAAATAAATGTTTATAATCAGTGATCCAAATATTAAATGAACACATCCCATAATTGTCTATGTCTATTAGCATGAGGATTGTGTAAATCATTATCAAGTAACCTTTTGATTATCTCTGCTAGTTCTCCTATGCAAAATATGCTGCAATATCTATTTGATATTTTTTATCTATGCAATGGAACTGCCTTTGAAAAAAGGAAATGTAAGTTGGCCCTAAAGAGTGCTGTGAGTTTAGTACTGGCCTATACAATCATTTAATGCCAGTGGGTTTTGATCTGGCTTCCAGTCCATTTCCAAGCCCAGCTCTAACTGGTGGCATACCTTCTAAAGCCCTAAATGACATGGTTCCATGTTATCTGAAGAATTGTGTCCTTCCATATATTCCTGCCAAGACCCTGAGTGCATCTTCAGAGGCCCTCTTCCAGGTGCCCCAACCAAATGAGCTAAAATGGATGGCTACCAAGAAGAGAATCTTTTCCATTCTGGAATGTCCTCTGCTGAAAGGCTAACCCTACACCTATTTTACTCTTTTTTCAGCAGCAGGTATTTTCCTTGGTTTTTTAAAAATTCATTCTGTTTGAAGTATTGTTACTTTATAGATATTGCACTGCTTCCAATTTTCCTTTGGTTTCAGCTATCAGGCAGTTGCAGAAATGTAATAAATCAATTATCTAAGCGTGTGTTCTGGTGGTGGCTTATACTGGCAACAATCATGGAGCTTTAGCATATTTGACATTCACAATCCACATGACAACTATGCAGTTCCCTGCGTTCATCATTACTTCTAGTCCAAATGGTCTGCCAGGCTCACAGTGGGTGCATTGAAGGGGTGGGAACAATGGTAGCACCCAGACCCTCAGCTAATTTGTACTGCTTCATGGAGGCATCTTTTCTACCATTTTGTTTGGGTGCTCATTGCTGAAAAAAGCAGCCCCCTAGAAACACCCTCAAAAGAAGGCAACATAAGCAATAAAGTACACTATACTATATTTAAAATAAATCTGTAAAGTACCAAGGAAAATAAAAGGATTTTTCTTAATAATGAAATTAGAGCTTGATTAGCTACTTTGTTAAAGATAATAACTTCTATCTTCCTACTAAAACTGGTTTTAAAAACCTTCATAAAATCATTTTATAACACAACAAAATACCTGTTTGTGCAACACTGATGAGCTGAATAAATGTTTCAATCCCATTTTATTCTGCAACTACCAAAAATCTGGAAAAGGCCAAACTTTGACATTTTGCCTTATCTACCATATCTGATCCCTGACTTTGCTAAAGCCGCATCTCATCTCTTAACATTTTAAAATGTTAAGATGTATTCATTTACCATCTGCTCTGATTAGTAAATCTACCACTCAAAAGCAAATCAATACAGCAATTTTACTAGACATAGACACAAACTCTGCTTCAGAAGCCAGTCCATCACAGGTCACAGCAAGAGTTGCTAATCTTTCAAATGACCCCCTGTAATTAACATGACAGTAACAGTGGTGTGATCTGCAACACATTTATTTATCTGTGATATGTGTACGCTGCTATAATGTTATAATGTTTTCAGGGTCAGCTCACAAAATAATAGCAATACTGTAAAAATCTTCAAGCCACTGAGGCACAGCAGGAAGGGACAAGTGAAATGTCAGACTCTCTCTTCATGCAGTATGCAAAAACATGATTTAGCTATTTGTAACAGAAAAATGATCCTTGGGAAAAGAACGGGTGAAAACTGTCCACAAGAGTCATTTTCTGTGGGTCTGTTCTTAGTATGACTAAGTCCAGATCCAATCCAATATCATTATTTTCATCTCCTAAATACTGGAGGTAAATGCATGGTAATCCAGTTCCTGGCTCCTGGTACAGTTCCTGGTAATACAGTTATGTTCTTCCTGGCTCACTAATCGTTGTTAACAAGCTACTTCCACAGGGCCTGATTACATGCCCTGCAAATAATTGTTCAGAAAGATGGACTTCGTTTCCTTATGACTCAAGAATCACCTGCCCATATTTAAATATATAATTTAGACACCAAATGTCTTTCAAACACTAAAGCATTCTTAAATTCAAAATTAAGTACATATTCACTACATTGTGAGAGTCAGTTCTGAAGTACAATGGATTATATTGCGCCATCTAAATATGTATCTTAGCTGGCAATTTCTAGTATTTGGTATAAATTTGGTGCCTGCCAGCTGTTTGTGGTAACTAAAAGAAAATGGGCTGTGTCCCCATTAAACAAATACAGCTGAAAGTCCTACAGAATGCACTAGCACATTTTATAAGCTGCTATTTCTGATCAAGGTAATATACTAAAAATATAATTAAAAATTGAGTAAATGGCTGCAGCTTTCACTATAATTAGCACTGCATTTTGATTTTCAAAATGGCAAAGTTGACATGCTATCTCTAAATTTTCACATTTTGTCAAGACTAGATGACCATCAGGCATTTACAAAAGAGAAGAAAGTACTTACACTGCTTAGTCCCAGGGAGGTGTCCTCCTATGGTCCCTCTTCGGGGTGCATCTGCAGCAAAGAGCTTTTCCTATATTTATCAGTTTCTTTGCATTGGCTCCAAACACTTTACAGAGCAGCGCTTCACTCTATCTGAGAGACACAAACTTCCCACACAGCCGTTTCGAGGGTCAAAGCAAGGGCAGCAGCAAGACCACATAAATCAAATAATAACTGAATCATCAGGGACAGAGGCCATCGGGACCCACACGTCACATTTTCCCAGCTATCTATCCAACCAACTCTCTAAACTTTCTGTTGTCCTGCTTTAGAGTTTGGCATTTCCTCATTTTGATTGCTTCATACTGACAACACTGCACATTATTAGCACTGATTGTCCATGCCACTTAATGGAAAGACAATCTGCAGTCATTTTGTAACATGATGCAGTGTGGTGTAGTGGTTAGCAAATTGAACTCGAATAAGGTCACCATACTTGCTCAACCTCAAATCTCACTAAATGACCTTCAGCCAAATTGTCTAACCTGTCTCACAAGCCTGTTGTGAAATAGAGGAGAGGGAGATTATATGTCACCCTAGACTCTTTGAGGGGATAGTCAGATAAAAATGCAACAAATACATAGCATAACACTTATGCTCTGGTCACATCCAGACTATTTTCCTACAATACACTTTATGTGGAGCTACCTTTGAAGTCAGTTCAAAAGCTTCAGCTGTGGCAGAGTGCAATGCCTGGATGATGGTAGGAGCCAAACATTCAGAATATCTTACACCTATTCTTCCTCAACTGCACTTGCCACCTTTCACACCCTGAGCCAATTCAAAGTGCTTGTTTTAAACTTCAAATTCCCTAGGGGAGGCTATTTTGGCTGTTGTAGGTAGCATATAATACGTGGATAAGTAAATAGTGCTTCACCAAATTCCCTGAGGGACCACTTATGGACATGCAAACCCATGTCCAAACATTAAGATCAGCTATGGTGGTCTACTCAAGGGCATATCAGGAAGAATGGTTAGGCTTGCAGGCCCAAGACAAAGGACCTTTCCACCTTGGCCTCAAGATGATGGAACTCTTGCCCTTGGGAGTGCCAAAACATCTGGAGGGCCATATATTGCCCATTCCTAATTTAGCTACTTACTAACTCAAATGGCTTTAGCTGTTTCTTCCTATAGTATGATTTCAAATGTGTATTAAGGCTCTTTTCCCCATTAATCATGTTAACCTACTCCCCTGAGATTCAAGCTAGTTTAGCATGGGCCAGTTTAGTTTAGCAAAAATACAGATTCAGTATATTTTTCAGGTCTGAGCTGATTCCCAAATCAAACCAGACCAAATCAGAACTACTATCTTTTAAAAAATAAAAATAAAAGATAGCCACATTGGTCCATTAAAACAAACCAGCCTGAAATCTGCAATTTGTCAATACCATATTTAAGGTGACCCAATATAATGTAAAAGATCATTTAAGATTTTGCGTTTTCCAGAATTAGGCTAGGTGGTCCAAAAACCTGAGGGGTAGGGAATATATAGAAATTAGGCAAGATTGTGTAGTCATGACATTTGCCCTTAAAATTCAATCTCAACATAGAGATTGCAGACTTGAATGAATTAGTCACTGCTAGCTGTTACAATTATCAGAGTACACCTTGTCTTCTAAGGTAAAGAAGCAATGCTAACCTGTTTCTGAAAGGCTGGCTGTAACACAGATCATTTTCTTGCCTTGAGACACAGAGATTACTGGATAGGTATTGCCCAACTGTGGATTTTGCATTATTTTAAAGTTTAACTTGAACCAGTTTGACTCCCTGCCTAAAATAATGCTGATCAGGTTCCATATGTTCAAAATCAAAAGATTCAGATGTCACACCAACTTTTTCTACCCACTTATATATCCAAGACTGTTCCATATATGAAAAAACTACCAGTGTCAAGATAATCTGGAAAGAGAGACTGTGGTATGCCTGAAGTATAATCTAGGGGGAAAAGAGCAAATATCTTCAGCCTGCTTCTGGAACTTGTTACACATTCCTCTGCAGATATTCTGTTTAGTTATAAACTTTGGTCTTACAATTGCACATTTTTCTTTGAAGAAAATATATTGTTTCTCTAGAACTCTAATATTCTTTTTCTTTATTTTCATGATACTGCAAGCTCAGTAATGTTGGGAAATTTCAGATAAATCCTGGTAGAAAAACATTGCTTATATATACCTCTGTGTTATAAAATCAAATATACACCTCTTTCTCACAAGGCAGCAGTATTCCCAGCCTGGTTGCTGTTTAGCGTTGCTGTTGCCTTGAGAAAATGGCATTATTAGCTAGACTGAGAGGCTTCTGGAGGCTAATACCTGTGGAAAACTAAAACAATGGTGCCCATTTTCTTCTGAATGGGCCCACCTAAGTCCCACAGAGGCATGTAGTTGTCAAACCAGACTTCCTCAATGGCTCTTCTATCAGACATATTTGCATGTTTAAACAGACAGACCAGCTGACCTGAACTGTCAAGAATTTGCTAGACCGACCTATCAATACAGCAATCAGTAATGTTTTCCATACTATTGTTACCAGTATTTCTGATCTGTTTAGAACATTATGTCATGCCTAAAGAAATCAGGATGCTATTGTACTAAGATTATCTGGAAACTTAACATTCTGTATTGGTGTAAGTGACTAGCAGGTTATAAAAGTGTCTGTACATGGGCTGTGATTTTGTAGTTGCATTTACCTCTACCCAGTAATATATTATTGTGGCTGACTGCAGGTACTGGGGCACCAGTCAATAAAGCAGCAGAGGTTCAAATGTTTGATTTTTCCCATGGACCCGAGTTTTTATTTCATCACAAATTGAAAACTAAGATTCTGTCAGTATACAGGTAGAAATGTTACTATGTGCTTGATCATGTTTTCCCCATAATTTACAGGTTCTTGCCATCTTTTCTCACTGTTCCTGTGAGGCAAGCTATTTAGCTATGTAGATTTGTATTCATGAATGAATATAGTAAGAAAACTAGCCAAATTTGTATCATCTATGATAATGAGCTAGACAGGTGGTGACATTAACAGCCACAACTGTTACAGACAGGTGAGTATAGAACAAGGGGGAAAAGATGAGTTAGCCAAAAAAAAGTTTAGAGAAAATTAGTAACTTTTCTATGTTATGCTGGACTTCTGACAAAAACAGAACAGTTGTGTACCCACTTATTTCAAGGGAGCAATCACAATATGTTATTTTGGATTTGTAGCTCTGAGGTCAGGGATAACTCCCCCCCCCTCCCCCGGCCAACTCCCATACATCCAACCAGGAAAACACCCTTGAGAAAGGGAAAATGGGAAGTTTTGTTGGACAGGGAAAGGAGGAGACTGGAAGGGTCAGGATGCAAGGTATCTTGAAGCTCTTCCAGCTTGCTTCGCAAGATGCCAAAGCTAGAGGGGAGGAAAAAGTCTGTCTAGAGGAAAATGTGGGGCAGGAGGACAGGGAGGCAAAAATAATCTCTGCCACTCTTCCTGCCAAACATATGCTAATAAGCCTCTGAATTCATGAGTTTACAAGCACCATGATAGGACTGCACCCTAAGTATGCTCAGAAAATGCAAGCAATCAAGAGCATGCGGGATTTTGGATGAAGTCTTGAGTAAACATATTTTTTGGTGTTTGTTTCTGAATAAACACCCAAATGTTGGAATTGCCTAAGCCTTTTGATATATCAGATAAAGTAATCTGGGCAGTGGTTTTAGGCTCAAATTAATGATCAGATTGGCAGATAAGCCACTGACAGCATAAATGGAGCACACTACACCACTGGACAAAACCACAATCAGCCTACATTGAAGGGGCAAATTCTGGTGGACTCAGATATCATAAATCTGTGGACTTCACTCTTACTCTTTCTCTGCTGAGAATATCTCATAAGGAGTCCAAATTCTCTCACATCATCCTCTCTATAAATAACTTTGCATGTGCTCAGAAACCCCAAATTCTACTCAGTCTGGTAACATACACCTAGCCAAGTCAGACTGAGTTTATTGATTTTTATTTGGAATGCTTTGTTTGTGATTGTTTTCCCCAAATAATTTCCTTACATGTTAAGATATTTCATTTCTTCGTTTTAAAATAGGATTTTTCACTATTTTTTCCCCATTTGCTTGGTTGCTAAACTACCCCTTATGATCTTAAGATGTTGCACAATATTCAGTTAAGGTCTGCATCTTTTGAGATTTGGAGGAGAAAGTACAAGGTTTTCCTTTTTATTTTATTTCTTCAAGAGCTGGAGTGAAGGGAGGGGTCCTTGGGAACATAGCTTATCATCTCCCCAAGCAGCTGACAAGCCTCTACTGTTCAGAAAAGGAACAGCCTGAGCTGACAGGCTACTGTAATGCCCATTTGGAAAGTCATTATTCTCCACCTCACCTGCCTGGATCCATAGTTTTGTGTAATATAAGAAAGAGTTTTCTCCCATTAATTAAGAATCTGATCTGCTTATCACTCTGGAGGAACTGTTTTTTCTCACATGGCTTTGGACAACATTGAATCATGGCAATTTATAATCTCAACATTCAGAAGTGGCTGACTACATGGTGACTTCATTTACCAAGTCTCTTTGGTGCAGCAGCTTCACTGATCTCAGAAAAGGTCAGCTCTATCCTCAGTCATTCATGGATCAAGCACTTCTGGGTTGGACTACTACAAAGTGCTCTAAATAGGGTAGCCCTTAAGGACAGTCTTGAGATGTCAACCTGTCCAGAATGCTACAGCCGGACTTTTGCCTACCATTGGCAGGATGGACCAGGACGAGCCAATTCGGTTTCTTTATTCTTTTTATTGGCTTTACTAGTACATTGTCTTATGTATTCATTGAGCGGAGGGCCAATTTAAAAAATCTTAACACCTTATGAGACGTACTCTTGGGCTCTGAGCACCTTCACTGGCTTCAACGTCATTTCCAGGCTCAGTTCATGGCCTTGGCACCAGACATTCATGTCCCAAATGGCTTGGGTGGACCAGCATATCTGAGATTGTGTTTCATCCCACATGGACTTCCTTGAGACCTGCACTTAGTTCCTCTCACCAACAGTGTAACTTGTGGGGACAAGAAAGAGATGGGTTTTTCTGTTGTGGTGCCTAAATGAAGGGTGGGCAAAAGGGCAGTGTTCAAATGTTTTGGACTTCAACTGTAAGAATCCCTCAGTGAGAAAAGCCCCAAATATATGAAGATCTGTTTTCTGTCCTAAACTGTGGAATAGCTGCGCCCCAGGGCCAGCCCCACCATTAGCCAGAGCGAGGCAGTTGCCTCAGCCAGCAGATACTGGCAAAGCCTAGAAAAAGAGGAGGGAGGGAGGCCATGCACCCTGCCCTGTGCTCCCTAAACTAGTCTGCTGCTTTTAGGCATGGTGGAGGGAGCTGCCCAGTGATGATGTGAGAGTC